TCCTGTTAGTGAATTTTCCTGGGAGAATTTTTTCAATGTACGAATTCACCTGGAGGGATTTCTTATGAGCATAACCTCATTATACGAGTTTTTGTAAACGAATTTTCTTGAGGATCATTCGATTCTAACTACTTCGGCGGTGAATTTTCCTGCCAGCGAATTTTCCTGGTAGAATTTTTTCAATCTACGAACTCACCTGGAGCTAGCTAGTTTTCTTACGAGCGTAACCTCCATACACGAGCTCTTGTAAACGAATTTTCCGTTCTGAATTTTCTTTTTTCCGTGCCAACTACGGCGGTGAATCTTCCTGATAGTGAATTTTCCTGGTAGAATTTTTTCAATCTACGAACTCACCTGGAGCGAGTTTTCTTATGTGCGTAACTTCCTCAAAATTGATAAAACGACCATTTTTGGGGGTTTCCAAAAGTGCCCCACGATCCCGCTTGTCCGTCATTCCGTCTCGGATCAGATCTTTATGTTAAACGTTAGTGTTGTGTGCGGTCTTGGAATTTTTTTCTATATAAATCGACTGAAGGTGAAAGGGCTGGGAGTATTCTTTATTGATGGCGTGGGACTGATGTATAATTCAATTTGGGTATCGAAAACTTAGACAACCCCATTTTTATGATGGATCAATCCAGAAATCTCATCCAAAACCCAGGGACTTGATCTTCTCGCTTTTGGAGAAGATGATAAACCCACTATTCGCAAGTAAAATTGTTGCTGTTTGTACTCCTTGTTAAAAACACGGTCCGTTTCCGTTTTGGCTTGAGACCACCGATCTGAAAGTTGGATGAGGATTTTGGAAATGGATCAATCTCCTTGGGAAAAAGACCAAACCTATGGTTTCGATACGCAAGACTCGGAAATTACGATTACCATTGCCCGTTCGGTATTTGCACAAGCGATATTTATCTTGGGACTTATCTGCTTGTTTACGATGAATTTTCCTACACAACAAGATAATTGCGAACCGTTGAACTCGACAGTCTAGAGAAAAAGGTCAGTACCTGATAAATTTTCCTATAAAACGATATCGGGTTGCTTTCCATATCATTTCTCCACGCTCTCCTTTCCGTCTTGGTCGACGTCAACATGGCAGCCAGAATTGATCGATCGAGTGAAAGTGAATTTCGCAATTTGGCACGTAAAGGTTAGGATAATGGAACACAGCGCGATTGCTAGTTACGCTAATTGGTCACCGCGCGGGTAATTGAGGATAATTGTTTTGTTTATCTCGACGACACAAAAAGGCATGAGTTACTAACGGCTCAAAAGCTTCGATTAAATGACCAATTACGAAGAGGTCATGGAAAGCTTTGTGGGTGTGCATGTGACGTTATTTGCATAGTAATAGTTGATATCCGGTGGAGGCGTGTTCGTGACGCGGTCAGCGTCACCGAGATCAGATCAGAAAATCCAAAGGTGCCCAAACAAAAGCGGCGACACGTGTGGCAAATTTTGCTTCAGCTGATAGAGGTACACAAATTCAACCTTGGAATGTTGCCATTGAATCACTCGTGCTTTCGGCCTAAAAATAAATATTATGCGAAGGTTATTTTTAAAGGGAATTATTTCTCTGCGTTACGAACTTCGTATTGTCACTGTTACACAAGACCATAATTGCTACATAATTGGGAAAACCGACAAGTAAACAGATTGCTTAAAATTGTGCTCCTTCGCTCGGGATTATTTTTTGAGAAAATTTCGACTCTTCTGAGAACCGAAATTGGCGAATTTATAACAACGCACTGTCTTTACAAAGTCTGCCAACAGCCTTGATTGATGGCACAATTTGTCATTGGCACCCGATTAATACAAAACTAGTAAATTGTCACAAAGAAACAACATTGATACTTCGGATCATAAGCATCCAAAAAGACCCATTACAGTACCCCCTTCTTGACTTCGAATCAAAGCCAGTCGCCGTATGCGATTGGGGTGTGCGAAAAAATAGCGAGTCCTCCGTATAAAGAGGCAAAAAGTCGAGAGTGCGCATGCTCAGAACCTTCTTATTTATGACCATAAAAGGTATCCAATAAATTTAGGAGCAAAATTGTCCACAATTACCGTCGCCATGTTTCTAAAATATTTCTGGTCTCCAGTAGCGTGCTATATTCCAGTGGCGTGCCATATATTTTATGGAAGACTTGTACAGTACTCGAAGAGTATGCAACATATACTTTTTTATTATTCTCTTCCAACTGTATCGGGAGTGGATCCTTCCCCTATGAACATTGGTCATCAGAGTGCAGAGGGAGGGGTGTCCTTATTCTAATAAACTGTTTCAGAACAACATAGACAGCAAGCGATAAATCCAAATGACTCCAAGGAACCAGAGAGGAATGAAATCTAAATTATCCGAGAATCACGAGGGACAGGGGCGGACTGGCCCGGGGGGGGGGGGCGATTGCCACCTAGCCTGTAGATCATAATGGCCAGTTGGAAATTTATAAGTATGTGCTGTATTTAGTTTCTTGCACTATTAATAAATTATTAACACGTTTCTCTAATTGGGGTTGATGTTAGGTTGTTAAAAAATTCTGTTTTAATTGAAGTGTTTTACAATGAATTTATCATTTTTTGTCGTAGTATTTTGAAAGTGCTGAAATACAATGATAGGCGACGCACCTCGTGTGGATTGTATATTTTGTTACTTTTAATTATCAGCTGCAATAAAAAAAAAACTGTATGGTAATTTATTTTCGAGAAAGGAGTACTTTAAAACGTTTTTGTGGTGCACCTCAGAGCTAACCCCCCCGCCCCCATCATTACTACACTAATACTTTAATGGCCCGTAACCTATGCAATTCCACCTGGGCCGCAGTTACCCAGTCCGCCCCTGCCGAGGGACTCGAACGGCGCGAAAAATATAAAAAAAGGGACTCCTCACAAATTTGAAGAATATTACCCATCGGATGGATTTGAGGAATCACAGGTCACAGGAAAGTGGGAGTGCCAAAAGAAGTACATATTTTGGAGATTAATGTAGAAATGGGGGGTCTGAGGGGTATGGAATACCCTCCAGAAAAGAGAGAATGACCGTATGTTCATTTCCTTACACGTACCATAACATTTTCGGGCCACTGGGGAGTATTCCATACGACTCCCCCAAAATTAGTAAATTTTTTGGAAAAGAAAGTAGAACATGTTCATTTCATTACACATACCATAACATTCTTCGTTTCCTGCGGAACACAGTAGGTTCGCCACCTGCTGGTGACCTTGGAAAGTAAGTCAAGGTGAGGTGCCACATGGCGATGACCTTGGGAGGTCGAGATAAAGCTCAAAGCGCAAGCTGTAGTTATCTTATTTCATTTTTTGGGGTGTCAAATCAAATTTTTAAGCGTATACCAGATCAATAGACCCATTTTTATTTATTATTTTATTGTTTTGTTTCGTTTAGATGTATGCTCAATTATTATTATTATTATTACTATTATTTTTGCGGTGTCAACTTACATTTTCAATGTCATCTAAGGTCAACCACATCAATTATGGTGTCAAATTATATTATCAATGTCATATACGGTCAACGACCTCAATTGTGGTGTCGAATAAACATTTTCAATGTCATCCAAGGGCAATGTTCACATTTTTGTGTTGTCAAATTACAATGTCAAGGACATCCAAGGGCAAGTCTGACCCAGTTCAACAGTTCAAGGTCGCACGTCATCTGATGGTGACATCGGTACGTAGGCATGTCGTGTGACTGTGACCTTGCCAAGTAGGTCAAGAGTCGTGTGGCACGTAGTGGCGACCTTTGAAAGTAGGGCAAGGTAAAGCTCAAAGGTCACCCTCCACTCTCCTCAGGTGATGATCCGGGGGTCAATGACCCCATTGTTTGGGTCGTCAAATTACATTTTCAATGTCGTTCAATGGCAACGCCTTTTTGTTGAAATGATATTTTGAAGGTCAAACAAGTTCAAAGATCTCTGCAATCTGCCCCCTCTCCCCCTTCCCCCAAGGGATTACCATGCGGAGATTTCACATGGAACTTTTGTCATGACAGGAGTCATTATAGACATTTGGCCGGAAAAGTAACAGGCGTGGTCGGTAAAGTGACAGGTGGGAGGAAAAGTAGTCTGGTCTGCCTCTGTCGTAGAAACTAAAATTTCCTGGCATAAAGTAGGCATGAAAATGAAGTTTTCATGGCAATTTTGGGCAAAAAGAATTATAGTTTCAAACACTTACAGGATCTGACGGTACTGGATCTTGAAGAATATTTTGCACGGAGCGATGCTCGGGGCGATATCCCAATTGTGAAGCGAGGCGATTAGAAAACCCAAGTATACACACAGAATGATTTTAATTACTCGTTTTTGTCAAGCTATAAAATTAAAAACTCGAACACCTTTGTAAGGTCTGAAACGTACGATTCAAATCAAAACTACAATCAAATTTTTAATCTCATTTATTAAACTCGAATATTTTCTGAAACGTTAATTAAATATCTTCCTAATATTTTTTTAAATTAAGCTCGAATTTTTTTACAAATTCTGAAACTTATTTAAAAGTCGCCCTAAACTTAAAACGGTCTTACAAACTCTGCAAAAACCTCCCCTTGGGGCACCTTTCAGAGATCAAGTACTTGTCTCCTTAGCAATCTTAAAAAAGTTCGGGAGAACCTCAGACATCCTATTAAAAATGTCCCTTCAAGAAATCGCAAGACAGAATACAACTCGTTCGATTCTATGTAGAAACACAACAAATCTCTGTGGAGATACACCAAAATGAACAGTACTCTTTTGTTTAGAGTTACGCCATCTGGTGGTAGAGTTTCTCTTGATCGCAGCCCAACTTAAAAGTTGCATAATCGAAAATGATGGTTGAATTTCCCTACTAGAATATGGAACTATTGAGATCACTACCCCGCTAACAATTCAATAAATGAATAAACAACGCAATTACATTATTAAACCATAACATCAATTTTCTCATCCTGCTCCGACCTCGTCGTAAACAACTGAGCGTTTTGGCAAAGAAAAAAGTGTACTTACGGTGGAGTGACGCCAGTAGTTGATGAGCTGATGGATATCGCTGCTCGGCGCCAGCAGCAGAAAATCCCGCCACTCATCGTAGCTGATGTTGAGGCTGCCGTCCTGGTCCATCCTAAATCAAAGGGAGATTACAAAAAATCGCTAAACGGCGGCGGGCCGTTTTGGTTTAGTTCTAATTCTACACTAAAGGCGGCGGCATGCTCCAGTTAAAAACAAGAATAAAGCGGGATGGCGCACAAAGAAAAATAATTAAAATAAAACCTACAAAGTACAGGTACCTCTGTAAGAGATTCGTCGCTTCCTGGCGCTCTAGCGGTACGCCCAGCTCCTGGAATGCTCGGATAAGTTCATCGAGATCGATTTTGCCTGCAACAAAAGCGGCAATTACTACCGTTGGACGGATAGCGCACTTAATGAGAAAGTATTTGCGGTTTCCGTTCGGTGGCGATTAACCGTTTTTCCAATCGAAACTGTGTACAGGTACGTAATCGGTTTCATTGACCGACAAACCTTATCGAAAGAGTAGGCCAAAAGGGATGTGCCCTAATGACACCAGATTGAGGGTTAGGAGGTTAATTGCGATAAAGATAAATTGTTCTAGAGATCGCGACCTCACAACTTCATAAATTTGTTGGCAGGTTCATAGTGCAGTCTGTGGAAAACGAGGGGTTAGTCGGTGTGATAATCTTTCGTACACATGACTGGTAGTCACTGGTATTCCCGTGGTAGTCTCTGGTATTCCTGTGGTAGTCTATGGTATTCCGAAGGTAATCAGTGGTATTCTCTGGTATTCCCGTGGTAGTCAATGGTAATCTCTGGTATTCCTATGGTAGTCAGTGGTAATCGCTGGTTTTCTGGTGGTAGTCTTTGGTATTCCTATGAGCATTTACTAACTTTTTTGCTGGTATATAGGTATTTCCGGCATAAACTATGGTTTTTGTGATTTTGTCTATCAAATCGCATACTTTTTAAAGTTCGATTGAGTGCTGGTTATTGAAGGTGACGATTCAGTTTTAAAGATGGTAGCGATTCAATCAGTAATAATGTATTTGTGTTGTGTGTTTAAAAACATGCCTAGGTCGAGGCCAAGGTTTCCATGCTAATCACATATATCTTAGATCTGGATCTAGACCCTTTTTAGAAGATGATCTTGTATCTAGATCTAAATTATATTATAATAGATCTTCCACTAGTAGATCCAAAGATCAATTTTAATTATTTACGTTATAAATGTTTTTAACATTGGACGAGTAAATCGTTGTCTATATTTAAAGAATAAAATACTGTGTTCCATTCAAGTTTTTGGGATTTAGTGGGAATAGTCATTAGCACAACGGGTAGTTTAGCTTAGGGGGTAGTATCGGTAATTGTTTACAGTACAGGGTGAGTCAACGATTGCGCGGAGTTACTTAATGTCTTGAAGATAAGATTTTTCGATAGAGTGCTTTTGTATTATGATGATATGGTTGAATATTCTCCACATTTTAAAAATATTTGGAATTATACAGGGTGCGCCCACAAAGTATGGCGCCCAAATGGTACATTTTTTAAATAGAACCCCCTGTATTTGAATGCATTTTTCAATTCTACGTGTAATTGTACGTCTTTTTTATTATATGGTTAATATCCGAAAAGCTAGTAGTTTTAAAGATAATTCGATTTTTAAGAAAAATTGGGTATTTGCAAGCGTCAGTGTATTGTCAAAATTATTACTTAAATTTTGATTCCAGGTTTTATATCTTTTATCACGGGTTAAGTAAAAGTCAAATAAATACATCTACTATGAAACATAAAAAATATAGCTTACAGGGTGTTTTTCTTGGTAGGTCCAAAGATACAAAACTTCATATTAAAAAATCTCACTTTTTTAACTGGAACACCCTGTATATTTTTCTGTCATCATTTAGATCCTCCAAAAACCTTCAATTTTTGATAATAATGTCCTATACCTATCTCTGTTTTCGAAATATCTTGGTTTTCCTGGGTTTTATATTCTAATCTTAAATTCGTTATATGTAATTTACATAATAGTGAGGTGGACATGCAAAAAAAGGCAATTTTTATCTATCTCGTCCAAAACGAAAATCATATCGATTAATTTATTTTTCAAACTATTTTAAGTCCAAAAACTGGAGAATAAGTAAAAACATTTGACTATAAAGCAAATTTAATTTAACTCCTAATGTCATCCAGTCAGTGATATTAGTTTCATTTTTTTTTTCATATTCACCTCGTTATTATGTAAATTAGAACTTATTTCAGATTAAAATATAAAAAGTAGAAAAACCAACATATTTGTTTATGTTTTTACTATCAAATTTATTCTCTAGTTTTTATAGACTTAAACGAATTATTAGAAAAATGAATTAATAAATATGATTTTAGCTTTGAACGAGGCAGATAAAAATTGCCTTTTTTTGCATGGCCACCTCACTATTATGTAAATTACATATAACTTAGTTAAGATTAGAATATAAAACCCAGGAAAACCAAGATATTTCGAAAACTATCAGAGATAGGTATAGGACATTATTATCAAAAGTTAGAGGTTTTTGGAGGAGCGAAATGATGGCAGAAAAATATACATGGTGTTCCATTTAAAAAAAGTGAGATTTTTTAATATGAAGTTTTGTAACTTTGGATCTAAAAAAAAACACCATGTAAGCTATTTCTTTAATGTTGTATAGTAGATGTATTTATTTGACTTTTACTTAACCCAGGATAAAAGATATAAAACCTGGAATCAAAATTTAATTAATAATTTTGACAATATACTGACGCTTGCAAATGCCCAATTTTTCTTACAAATCTAATTATCTTTAAAACTACTAGTTTTTCGGATATTAACCATATAATAAAAAAGAGGTACAATTACACGTAGAATTCAACAATGCATTCAAATACAGGGGGTTCTATTGAAAAAAATGTACCATTTGGGCGCCCTACTTTGTGGGCGCACCCTGTATAATTCCAAATATTTTTAAAATGTGGAGAATATTCAACCATATCATAATACAAAAGGCTCTATCGAAAAGTCTTATCTTCAAGGCATTAAGTTACTCCGCGCAATCGTTGACTCACCCTGTACAACTGATTCATGGGCATGCCGCCGCCAGGTCTACCCGAATTATCCGAAAAACACGTTATTGTTATGTAGGTAAGCACACCACTTTGCCTTAAGTAGTAATTCAGATGTAGGCGGTTATTATAATTTTCAAAGAAGGACTTTTTCGCATCATTTTTCTTGCTGTTTTGCGAATTTTGCATAGATAAAAGTAAAACCTGAAGGGGTTACACAAAATGAGATAAGTACCTAAGCATTTTCCGAATAATGAATCAAATCCACCCATGTAAATCAGATTTACCTATGGAGGATCTATAAAGGATCTAGATCATTTTAGGACGATCTTGATCTAGGTGCGGATCTTTGGTCTGGATCTAGATCTAGAATTAAAGGATCTTGCCCAACATCGGTCACAGTCCAGATACAACTCCTTATCTCGCTGCCACCTGTGTGGTAGTTTGGAGTAGTCACTGGTATTCATTGGTGATCTATGGTATTCATTGGTAGTCTCTGGTATTCATGGGGTAGTCTCTTGTAGTCTGTGGTAGTCTTTCGTACAACATTTTGCTCATGTATTACCCCGAGTATTACCCCCTCGGTGGAAAATAAAGGTCCGTGATCTTCCACTTAATCTCTCAGCCATGCCGCTAATATACTGATTACGCTCAAATGTGCTGTACAGAAAACTGCCTTTGACATTACGTCTGCAATTATTGTCCATTCAAAAACTAAAAAAAATTCCAACATCCACAAATTTTGGGACCCGTTTGGTTGATTTCCCAACGAAACTATTGTTAGTTGCACATCTAAAGACTGTGCTATCGCGTGTGCCGACGAACAGACAGGCGAACGGAAAAAAAATAAGAACATTAGCGCTTTCACGGCTTTATTTTCGTTTCTAGCTTAATTACAACTTAATTGAAGAAGTATCGAAAACAGTGTTTACTTTTCATTTTCATAGCCTTCGATATTTTAAATTTTCTTTTTTTCAGCTTAGGTCCATGAAAGCAATTTGATCCAGAGTAGGCAAATATGGCCGACTCAGTCACACTAGAGGCGCCACCAGGTGGTGACCTTGGTAACTACTTTTACATACATATATAAATAATAATAATAATATTTATTTTTGACATTCAGTTGACACTGCTTAGTCTCGTCTGGATATTTAACATGTAAAATTAGTCGGTATATAACAATCAAAATATATGAATAAAATATAAAACAAACACATCAATAAATAGAAAACAAACAGTATTAACATAAATGAAGGGTTATGGGGCAAGCATAAACTCTTCGGCACTGTAATAGCAATTTGCTATAATATATTTTTTTAATGTTCGGTTAAATTCCCGTAATGGTGACTTTTTTATTTCCTTATTTAATTTATTATAGAGCGAGAGATTAAGTGAGTTACTTTTTGACAAACATAACCTGTACACGGGTGGTAAAAGTTGTTCCTTATATCTTGTATTGTGCCCGTGATGCCGCTTATCCGAGATTGGGATATATAGCATATATATGATACTAAGTAGTACAACATCAGAAATAGCAAAATAAAGTTTATTCTTATTCCTCTCTTCTCTGCAACGTCCTTCTCATCCAGTCGATTCCTCTTCCATCTTCCTTTACTGTTTTGCTCGTCTTGGTTTTGCTGCATCTGTATATCACGTGTTCTATCGTCTCTGTTTCTTCCTTACATAGTCTGAACTTTTCTTCCTTCCATCTTTTCCCGGTTCTGTTTTCATTTCCGCATCTAAATCTTGCAATGGTTTTTATATTTTTGTTGTTCTGTAGATATTTTGGCAAGTGTAATGTTTTTATTTCCTTGTACGTGGTATTGTAGGTGCTGTTTTCTATTCGATTGATTTGGTATTGTAATTGGTTGTCTTTGTCTCTCTCCTTCATAATCATTGGTATATTTACTCCTTCTCTTCGTAATCTTTCCGCACCATCTTCTGCATACCCATTTCTTTAGAAATATCTTCTTCTTTCTTCTGTCCACTTTTGGTCTTCTTTCTCTCCTTGAGTTTCTTTTAGTAACCCATTTTCTTCTATTTCTATCCTTTCTTCGTATTTAACTACTCTATATCCCGCTTCTATCCTCATCTTATCTTGTTTGGTTTCCTCCAGAAGTATGTAAGTACTTGCCAATCCTAGGATCCATTTTAGGATTTGTTTTGTATCCGCTCAATGTCCTCTATCTCCTTCCACCCCCATATTTCTGCCCCGTACATCACTGTGCTTTTGATCAGGTAGTTGAACATCATTTTCTTGATTCTATAGTTTTTGAATTTTCTTTCTGCTATGCTCCATATCTGAGGTATTAATCCACTTGCTTTTTTTTTATTTGTCTTATGTGAGCACTTGGTCCTCCGTTTTTCATTAGTGTGTACCCAAGGTATTTAACTTCCGAAATTTCTTCTATTTCTTTTCCTTCGATTTTCCACGATGTCTCGTCCTTATTCTTCTTTCTTCTTTTTGTAAAAACCATTATTTTTTATTTTTCTGTGTTTATTGTGTAGACATTACCTCCGTTCTTTTCCAGTTCTTATTGTACTGCGTGATTTATTATGTATATGTTGTCTATCGTCCCCCTTCCCTTCCTAAAGCCCATTTGTGTTTCATCTAGTATTTCTTTGTCCTCTACTTCTTCATTTAATCGGTTGTTTAGTATTTTAGCGTAAAGTTTGTATGTTGAGTTTAGGAGTGTGATTCCCCTATAGTATTTGATGTCATCTTTGTTTCCTTTTATGTATATTGGGCCCATTTCTCCTTCTTTCCAACTTTCCGGAAATCCTCCTCCTCTCCCTACCCTGTTAATGATTTTTCTGATTTGCTGTTTCACGTTTTCCGGCGCATGTATTATCATCTCATTTGTTATTTGCAGAGTTGGACTGGGTCAAGCATAGAGTGACCCAGTGAGTTTACTGACCCAGTGACCCAGCTTGACCCCGTGACCCAGTGACCCAGATTGACCCATCTTGACCCAGCTTTACTCAGTGACCCGTCTTGACCCGGTGGCCCAGTAATTAAATTATTGTTAGGTATCATCCAAAACAATTTCAAGTAACTTTTAATTTTAAAAAAAACTTCCTCAATAATATTCGGCAACAAGCACGTAGCCCAATTTCATTCAAGAGAACTAATACCTAAAAAAATCAAATGCATTTGTTTATAGTTTGTAGTCAAGTAGTCAATGAAAGTATTTAGAGAAAAGATTTATTTCGATTAAGCTAACTAGTAGAAAAAATTAAATGTGAATGAACACCTGTAAGCAAACTGGTAAGCCCTGAAGCAAAGAAATAACATTATTCTAATACAATTCGGAACATGGAAAGTTTTTTACGGCAGTATTAAAGCAAACATCACAGAAATGGCAATTGTCAAGCAATCGAGTATTATTTTCAACAAACCAGCATTTCATTTATTTCATAATCTGTACACTTGAACCGAGGGCACTGACTTAACTGCGTTATTCGATCAAACTAGGTGACTGGGTCGAATTGGGTCCCCGGGTGAAATTGGGTCGCTGGGTCAAACTGGATCACTGGGTCAAACGGGGTCACTGGGTCAAGTTGGGTCACTGGGTCAAACTGGGTCACTGGGTAACTGAAAAGAGTATGACGTGACCAAGCGACCCAGTTTAATTTAGTGACCCAGGTGACCCAGTGACCCAGTCCAACTCTGGTTATTTGGTCTGGTTTCTTTTTTCATTTTTGCTATTTCGGCTTCCATTTCTTCTTCCCCTATTACTTCAACCCCCTTTTCACTCCTTCTTTTTGTTTTTTCACCTCTGAAGCTTATCTGTCCGTTTAAACTTTGCATAAAGTAGTTATTCCCTTCTTTTTCTCCAATGTCGTCCAGTATTCCTTCTTTATATTTTCTCTCTTTGTTTATAAATTTTCACTCTTCATTTTCGTTTTTGATACTTTATATTTCTCTTACTTCCTCTTTTGTAATTCTTTTTTGCGTTCGCATGTATCCTCATATTCTTTCTTCTTTGTTCTGTGCTCTTCTCATGTGTCTTTTCCTGTTTTCCAATCCATTAGTTTTTTGTCTTTGTGTGTAAATAAATAAAGTAGGATACGGCCACGCCTATTTTTATTAGGAAACCGACTTAGCGTCAATTACACTCGCTTATCAAGCGGTGTGTAAGTGACGTTAATTAAAAAACACTCGCATACTGACTACCCTAATTACCACTGAGCAGCGTCAATTATTGACTTTATATTGTTAATTACAGCACCTGGAAACGTGCTCGCTTAGAAGCGAAGAATAAGTTGTAAACAATCAATATCGTCACACAACCACAAATTTCCAAATAAAATTGGTTAGCAACCGAGACAATACAAAAAAACTAGAGCTCGTTAAAAACAAGATTGCGATGTCCTAATACAATGAAACATTTTTGTTTATTTCGGTCTTGGCAGCGACAATAATTTACGATTTGGATATAGGCATCGCGGTTTTTTGAAAAAGATACCTAGGTTATTGTGTCGCAAAAATACACGGTTTAAGTCGACGATTAAACTGATATCGCGTCATAGATTAAAGTCTCTTGAGAAAATGGGATATCGCAAAATTAAAAAAAAATTTTCAGCTGAGTGGAGATATCTACAGCGACTAAAAGTTAAGGTCATCGAGATACATGCTGACATAAGTACAAGAATGAATAAATATTTACAATAAACACTACCCAGAATATTCGCAAATTGATTTTCGGAATTTTTCGTACTTTTGGGAAATCGGTGGATTTTTTTCATGATTTCGTATTTTGTGGGTTTTTGTATGATATACATAATATAGATAAACATTTTATTGGCAGCGTGAACTATGTGTGCGCAATACAGGGACAATTAGCATGCCTTACAGAGATAATTAGCGTTATATGGGAAAGTGGAAATGGTGCGCTCATAAAAATTGACACACAAAGGTTCTCGACCATGAATAACTTTTTTAAAATAGCGGCAGTTTTCTACTACTGTCGGTTATACGGGAAGTAGCTACCAACTTTCTTATTTTGAATGGTAACTTGTTGAAGAAGGATGTACAATCTACAAGCAAACTTGGAAGTGGAAACCAAAGTCTGGTGACTGAAGAAAACCGTGAAGTGTTATAGATGTAATCAATTCGGACATATCAAGTCGAATTGTCCTAAGAGAAAGCTCGACAAGAACATGTTCTGTGCTATATCGGCGTTGAAGTGGCCAGAAAATGAAGGGATTTTTGATTCTGGCGCAACCTCGCACATGTACAAGGACCTTAAGCTTTTTGGGTGTCATAAAATGCAGTTCCAGTGGGGATCTTGAAAAAATAAACTAATTTTTAATACAAATCACAATTGCCCTGAACGCATAAATGCTGTTGCCATGGAAATTACTTTATTTATTACTTTAGTTCTTTAGTTTTCCGTTAGAGGTCATCCGAAGTGTTATAGGTCAATGACCTTACTTTATTCTTTTGTCGCTAGAGTTCACGCTATGTACCTTACTGCCCCTCCTTGAATTTTTGTCTTCCGTACAACCTGTACTTGTTGCGCTCAGAGAAGATCCTGCACTCATAGTGGTTACTTGCAATTTTTCTTAATACACCATTACTTCTAACCTGAATAAGGCTCGGAATAAGGGCTCTTGGTATTGCCTATTATCATAGTTCTTTGGCGGACTTTTCTCTATTTCTGATGTGTGTTGTGGTTGCTTCATTGAATACGCTTATCGGATTTATATTTGCAAATGACTCAACATTATTCTTAATACGTATTTATAGGGCTTTGTCTTCTCATTGTTACCTCATAATTCTAATTGTTCTCTCCTAAGAGTCCTAATCTTTTCGAGATGTTGTGAATTGCTTCAATCCTTCTGATCTCACGTACATTACTTTGTCGCTACGAAGACTTATGAAACTGCCAGCTGAGGTTGAAATAAAAAATCTTATTAGGTGCTGTAAATGCAAAAGCTCGTGCACCAGGTTTCTTTGGCTTGTACCTATCCCTTGTTTGAAGCTTTCACAAGCGCGTGTATTTTGGGGTATGCTTTCAAACTTGTGCAATTTCTTAATCGCAGCATTGTTCGAAGTTTCGAATAAATGCCCCAAAGGGTAGAAGATTTAAATAGCTTTGACATTTCCTTAACAGTATTAACGATGCATTTAAGACTTTGTTCTTAACATGCTTCCTAATAGGCTTTACTGGAAGTGGATTTTGCACCTACCAAGTTTTCTTGTGCTTTTGCAACAAGCAATTGAATGTCAATATGATTTTATTTCCCTTATTTTTAAATTATATTGCAGGTATAATCAACAATACTATAAGAAACGCGTGTATAATTGGTCTTTAAAGCAGTTGCACTACGCTACGCGTCATTAAATTCGTTGCGCGTGCTTTAAAGACTTGATTATACACTTCTCACTCACTATACTATTTAATTGGGTGACTATTTTCATATTCATTAATTTGTTCTTAATTTATTCCTTTTGATTCTTCGCCTAAGTTAACTGAAATTGCTGAATATCGATCAATTACATGTACAAATTTGCATAACGCAATACATAAATCATAACAGATTAGTACCGGTCAGAACGTAATGTCAAGGAACTACTTAAGCCAAGGCCGACCCAAATTACGATAATGGAACATTTACACCTCAGTCTACATTAAATTATTCGTAATTCACACGTGCGTGTAGATCCTTGGATGCAAATGCAGCGTACAATCCTGTTTGATATTTTGTTAATTACCCCGTTTGGGCCTAGGCAATCGATAGCACCTAAATGGTTGAGATTAGAGAGAATTCCCGACTGTTAAACATATTTTTGGGTTATAAGGTCCCTTTACTCAACGAAATTCATCCTTGCACTCGAATCTCACTTTACGCTTGGATTTTCGGAACGAGGGGCAAGTCATCCGTCCCAAGGGAGGGGCCCTACTAACAACAAACTCTTTAGTTTTGAATCCATGTACGATATGAGATGCGATCCACCAATTTCAACATGTTCCGTTGTTTTTAACAAAAAAGGGTTAGCTTTGGGAGGGAATAGTCATTCCGCGGCCGCAACTTACCATCTTTATTTTTGTCCAAATGCGAAAAGTGCAGTCTGAGATTCTTCTCGTGCTCCTTAACGTACAGAATGAAGTCCGCCAAGGACACGTCTCCGCTTTGAGTCTTATCCGATTGCTGTATGAATTTCTGGAACAACAAAGAAACGACGGTTAGAAGGTCTAAAGACGGGAAAGTGTAATTAATCTTGTTTACTGTCTGGTTGATAACGCTTATCGGAATTTTCAACGGACGGCTGTTAAGTTTTACAACTCGACAAAATCAAGGTTCACAGCCGTCAATCGACACGCTTATGATCGTTATCGATTACGCGAATGACCTTTGTGCGCATAGTTCAGCCCCTTAAATCCATTTGCGCTGACAAAATGAAAGCGCAAAAGATCCTGATAGACACATGAACGACTAAGAAAGGGACTTCGGAAATATGCGTTAGTTATCCTTATTGCTGGTTGCGTAATTACACTGGTCACATTTAAAATTCTTGCAACTAACGTGATAAAATGTGACGATTTTGGCTATCCTTGCTCTTTAAAGTGTAATTACATTTATTGTACAGCCGTAAAAACTACAATATTGATTGCTTTGACCATTGTAAATAAACAAAATGGCGGCCGAATTGCCTTTTAGTTCAGTTCCTACTTCGACGCGCTAAAGATTTTCTTGTTATAAATCTATTTAGGGATTTCAAGACGTACTGTTAATTATTTGTAAATAAATGACGCAATGAAATTTACGTTACAGGAATGTGGGAAATGTTTTGGGAATGATCTATATGAAAATTCGAAAAATGCCAAAAAGTAAAAAATTCGGTACCCATTTTGAAGTATCCTAAAGGTTGCTTTGAAAAAATGTCACATGCTCGACATATTCCAAAGATTTCCTACATGTTACCTTGGCAGTTTCGAAAATATTTCCAACATTTCCATCTTCTTTTTACACATTTTCAAGAGATTCGGCATTTGCAACATTTTCAAACAGTTCCCACATATTTCTAAATTTTCAAAAATGTAAAAAGCATCGCCATTTCTTAAACGTTTGGCGCTTCCGAGGACACATCCAAAACATCCAGAACAATTCCAATTAAATATTTTCAAAGTATTTCCAAAAAAATTCCAATCTCCAAGGTGGTCAACGTGCTAGACGTTGGTTTCAAAACATTCGATATTTTCAAAAAGTTGGACACATTCCTATATTAATTCCAACATTTTCAAAATTCCGAAATTGCCTCAATTTTTCCAAAAGATTCTCACGATCTTCGAATATATTAAATATTACAAAGTCTTATCGAAATATCCTCGGAAATATCGAACACGTTTTGTAAATACAAACGTTCCAAAATATTTAGCAAATGTTGGAATTAGGAAGGAAATTTTGGAAATGTGTAATGTGGGTTTTTAGAACATTTCAAAAATGTTGTGAAAATGTGGAACACATACAAATGTTTATTGCAAAACTTTCTTTATAATGATTGTTGAATAATGTTCCGTTTTCAAAATACGTACACGGGGTCAGGTAAAAAAATTATCGGACCTAATTTGGAACCCCTTTTATATTTATAAAACGATAATACTTAATCCAAAAAAATACAATAATTTCTGATTTTTTTAAATATCCTTGGCGTTATATTTATTGTGCTCGGGCGACCTTATATCCCATTCGGGAGGGGGGGCGTTGCGAGACGAGGCGGCGCATCCGGCTAAACCGAGCTTATGTCCTATCAGGAAGTGGAACATTGAGGCGTGGTGAGGCGGCGCAGTCGCCGATACCGAGCTTATTTCCCATCCGGAGGTGGGATATTTGGATATGATGAGTCGACTGCGCCGCCGCCGAAGCTAAGCTTATGTCCCATGCGGGAGCGGAAGATTTCAGCGCGGTGAGGCAGCGCAGCCGCCGAAACCGAGTTACTTCCCATCTGGGAGCGAAACATTTGGATGAGGTGAGGCGGCACAGCCTGCCATACATTCGGAAGTGGGATATTTGGGCGTGATCGAGTTTATATACCATACATTGGGGCGAGGTGAGGCGGCGCATCCGCCTAAACCGAACTTATGTCTCATTCAGAAGTGGGATATTTGGGCGTGGTGAGGCGGCAACGGAGGGAGCAATCCCTAGGGTAGGTTCTTTTTGGGTCAGACGTAAAATTACGTAAAATTATAAAATTAAAATTTGAAAATATTCGCTCGTTTACGAAATACGGGGGAAAATAAAAAAAAAACTATCATCAATTTCAGAATGATCCTATATTTTCTTAGTTAAAATAGGTACAGAAAAATGTTTATTGCAAAACTGTTGAATAACGCGCCTTTTTCAAAATAAATATGTATATGGGGTCAGGTAAATAAGGTATTGGATCTAATTTCATATTTTTTAATTGAACACCTTGCATATTTTAATATAAAAAATCTCGTAAAAAATAGTATATTAAATTTTCAAAAAATTCAAGAAAACGTCCCTATTGATTCAAAAATTTTTTAAATGTTTTGTATTTTTTGATCATTTGAACCTTTTTTCATTTTTTTAATCCAAACTTTTTGAACCTCTTAGTTTTTTTAATCACTCAAATCTCATCCCTGGTGATATATATTTTTGAAAAAAGAAAATCTGCGCTATTTTTTTAGATTGAAATATGCAGTGTTCCACTTTAAAAAGTGAGGTTAGGCTCGATAACTTTCTTACCTGACTCAATATACCTACTGATTATGACCCATCCGGAAGGGGGGCATTTAGGCGAAGAATACAGGCCGTATTATCTCGCTGCGATATCTGTGATATTCCAAACCATGAAACTGTCACGGTTGTTGATGTATTGGAGAGATAGAAACGAGGGTAGAAACCTTTCAGAAACCTCTAACAGTCTAACGGAACTAAGCTCAAACAATTTTTGAGAAATCTCCGTATTGGCGTACACTCGCCGACCGCAGGTTTTTCTAGACTTTTCCTGGGACTTTCACTAAATGAATTAAATTATAACAATACAATAAGTGTATTATATTGTAATGAGGTCATGCCTCTTCATTTAATTATCCATATCGCCAGTAAAGTCTGGCTCTCGGTCTGGCTTTATGTTGTGCGCCATTAATAAATAAAGCAATGAACGAAAACCACTTCCGTGTAATAACGGAACTTTCTTGAATTCCCGAATCATTTAGTTTAAAGTTCTCTAAAAACACGAACTTTGAGGGGTTGTTTTGGGATAACGAATAAAAGAGGAAGCTTATCATGTACTCAAACCTCTTCCTTGTCAGATGACTCAAAATACTATACTAAAAACGAACGCTAGATCCCTCCAAGTGATAAAGATATCACCCACAGATAGTAAATAGTCATTGACCTTTAATAAATATTTATGGTCGATAAATTGGTTTAATATGTAACCTTGGGCGTTCTGTGGGTATTTGCTTCGCACCCTGTATATATGCAGTACCATGTACAACATATATTTAACACCTAAAGAAGACATAACCTATAACCTAAAAATCAATGCACTGACCACCTTGTGATAAAAATGCACGCATGAAAGGAAAAGAATGGCACGTGAATAATTTTAATTTATTCATTACGTAAAATTCAAGGTAAGCAGACGAAAAAAAACAGGAATACGATTAAAGCGAAATTGGCTCAATTTTTCCACGCCATGACCTTTCGCGTAATTAAAACCTCTTGAATTCGTGCCAAATTTATATCTCGATATTAATATCTGCTACCGGCGACCTACAAAAATATCGCAGCCCTTCCCCCCGAACGAAGGGGGGGGGGTGTTGGTGTTCATAACCTCAAAGTGGTTAATTACCTCCGCGTAATGATGGTGCACCCCCAACTTTTTAAGTTCGACGGACAGATCGTGTATATCAATCTTTCCGTTTCCATCGCGGTCGAGATTCGCGAACACCTTCTCCAAACGCTCCTCGTCCTCGTGCGGCAAATGGTGATTCAGAAATTCGTCTTTCTTCGCAGCACTGCCCCGATTTAACATTGCAATTTAAAATGTCGCTATTTAATTAAATCACATAACAAACACAGCACACTTAGATCCACATTTCCGCAATGCGACTTTGCTTACGCGTTTTTGACAGCGACCGACGGCCCGGTTTGCAACCACCACCACCACCACCACGTTGCCAACTCGAGGTTCTCCCCCTCCGTTTTTACAATAAATTTAATTGTGTCTGCAATGCTAAATTCCACAAGTTGCGCGTGACCTAGAAATTCGAAAAAAGTTCTCTAATCCGGTGAAATTCCGCGCCCTCCCGCAAACTTTCCATCCTACTGAAGTTCACAATTCACTTTAATATCAAAAGATGTCGCCCTTAACGGAAATGTTTCGTTTGCGATAACAATACGGAAATAAAATTCTATTTTCGTATTGTATTTACAGGCCAAAATTTACTGGAAATCGTCGAACCCCTTTCTGATAGATGTTATGTCCTTTCTGAATTTTAAAGGGGAAGAAACAGCGATGAACTTTGACATCGGGGTACCACGGTGTTGATGTCCTCTTGGAGGCGTCGGAGAATACTTCTTCGGTCGTGGCCCGCATCGCTTCTTCGTTTTGTCGTGGGGATCTCCTGGCCATTCGGTTGACGGCGTCGATAAAGTCAAGTTCCGCGTTTTCGTACGGTGCAGATACTCCGCGAAGACCATTTTCCAGAGGGATCAATCCTCGCTCAAGGATCGCAGGAGGTTTTCCCAAGACTCTTTTCTGAAGTGGCCGATGACCTTTTCTTGAAATCCTCGGAACTGGACTCGGTGTAACGTACGGATCCCACGAATGTTGGAAGCGCACTCTGGATCGGCTCTTCTCCAGGATCAGGTCTTGGATCCAACCCGGAACTTCGTGCCAAATTCGCCGGCCGCCCGCTCCGTCATCGTTTCTTCGAGACGACTTCGGAAGGCGGGCCAAGACGTACGCCTCATCTCGGACACACACGGGTTCCATCGCCTCTGTTCGTATACGGTTACCGGTCTCGCTACCAGGTTCCGGCGCCGCCTTTAACTTTGGTTGGGTGTCGCTCTTACGTTTCATGGTTCCTTTACCGGTTCCAGCCTCGCTTTGAGGAGCTGGGTTCGGTCTTAACTCGCTGGTTTCGCCACCAAAGGTCTAGGGAATCGTAGACGGGGATGAGCGGCTTCTTCTTTTTCTTGCTTGATTTCGCAGGTTGGAAGCCATCTTGTTCTTCAGCAACCTGCGAGGCTAAATCAGGTTCTGCGGTCTCTTCCATTGGTTCGAGCGGTGGCGGCGGATTTGACTATTCGGTGGTTGCTATCGCGTCCTGTGCGGCAACCGGCGGTTTTCCGAAGCAGAAGATAGGTCTTTATCTTCGCTACTGGAAAATGCTTGAAGCGCCTCCCATGGACCATACAGTTTACAGTTGGTTCTAGGAATTTGTCAAAAGCCTTTTGAACAAGGGCTAAAAAGCGCTGAACCGCTGAAAAAGTTTAGAAAGATTTGACATGATCCATAATCCCTTGAAGAGTGTCTTAGCTTTAGGAGCTATTGTTAATATTTGTTAAAAGTCTTCCAATATTACAGAGAACGTTCGGTTTCGGGTTTGGTTCTTTAAAAATCTCCGTGTATATGGGAAGATGGCGACGTAAATTGTAAGTGAGCACGTTCGAAATTATTGGTTTTCATCGAGGCGTCCGTTTGGTTTGGTTTGCGGAAAATAGTTGGGACGGAAAACCCGTCGGGAGCTACTGGAACGTTTTTCGGAATCGTATAAACTAATCTTGGGGTCGTCGGTATATGTATAGCCAGGGGCGGACTGGGTACTTACGGGCCAGGTGGAATTGCATAGGGTACGGGCCATTAAAGTATTAGTGTAGTAATGAATAGGTGGCGGGGGAGGGGGGGTAGCTCTGAGGTGCACCACAAAAACATTTTAAAGTACTCCTTTCTAGAAAATCAATTACCATACAGTTTTTTTTAATTGTAGCTGATAATTAAAAGTAACAAAATATACTAATCCACACGGGAAGATGGCGACGTAAATTGTAAGTGAGCACGTTCGAAATTATTGGTTTTCATCGAGGCGTCCGTTTGGTTTGGTTTGCGGAAAATAGTTGGGACGGAAAACCCGTCGGGAGCTACTGGAACGTTTTTCGGAATCGTATAAACTAATCTTGGGGTCGTCGGTATATGTATAGCCAGGGGCGGACTGGGTACTTACGGGCCAGGTGGAATTGCATAGGGTACGGGCCATTAAAGTATTAGTGTAGTAATGAATAGGTGGCGGGGGAGGGGGGGTAGCTCTGAGGTGCACCACAAAAACATTTTAAAGTACTCCTTTCTAGAAAATCAATTACCATACAGTTTTTTTTAATTGTAGCTGATAATTAAAAGTAACAAAATATACTAATCCACACGAGGTGCGTCGCCTATCATTGTATTTCAGCACTTTCATGCTACGACAAAAAATGATAAATTCATTGTAAAACACTTCAATTAAAACAGAATTTTTTAACAACCTAACATCAACCCCAATTAGAGAAACGTGTTAATAATTTATTAATAGTGCAAGAAACTAAATACAGCACATACTTATAAATTTCCAACGGGCCATTATGATCTACAGGCCAGGTGGCAATCGCCACCCGCCCCCCCGGGCCAGTGCCCCCTGGTTATACACTGCCTTTTTTTGAGCCCCGAAAAAAAAATTGTCTCAGATCGACCCGGAAAAAAATTTTCTTATAGAATGTGGCCTGTAGAATCCATAATTTCAAACAGTTCCAAGATTGGGCTACTAGTTCAAAAGTTACAGCCCTTTGAATTTTTTTTCGAAATTGGTTTCTAGTCTATAACTTTTGATTGAGAAGTCTGATCGAAAAAGTACGAATTGTTTTGGATTCTACGCACCAAAATTAATAAGAAAAAGTGTTTTCCCGAGAAATTTTGGTGTAGTCGATTTTTGGTAAAAAAGGAAGGTTATACACTGCCTTTTTTTGAGCCCCGAAAAAAAAATTGTCTCAGATCGACCCGGAAAAAAAATTTTCTTATAGAATGTGGCCTGTAGAATCCATAATTTCAAACAGTTCCAAGATTGGGCTACTAGTTCAAAAGTTACAGCCCTTTGAATTTTTTTTCGAAATTGGTTTCTAGTCTATAACTTTTGATTGAGAAGTCTGATCGAAAAAGTACGAATTGATTTGGATTCTATGCACCCAAATTAATAAGAAAAAGTGTTTTCCCGAGAAATTTTGGTGTAGTCGATTTTTGGTAAAAAAGGAAGGTTATACATAGCTGCATTTGGGGAACACTAACACTATCACACCAGATCGAGAGCACAATGTGGCACGAATTCCATTTTACTGAAGGGAGCGGTCCGAAAATCAGTGGCGGAACCGTTGTGAGTCTCAGGGAGTTGGGCGAGGACCCTCAGAGCAAGGGTAGTAAGTATTTAACTTTCTCATCGGCGTTTGTCGCTGGTAATCGTCAATATTTGCCTTGCTGTGATTACGTGTCCGGGTCAATATTTTTTTAAGATTCTATTTTGTGAACAAAGAGTCAACCACGTCCCACCAGAGATCCGGCCGGATAACGCGCCGAGTCACACCGTCTTGCCTTCGTTGTCAACTTCTATCGGACCAGTGATCCGTGTGTCAACGGTATCACAACCCCGCAGACTTCGTCTTATTCCCAAGAGTGAAAAGATCTTCCTGTTTCCAAGAGTGAGAAGAGAACTGAAAGGAAAGCATCTGGAAATCTTGGACAATGATAAAAAAACCACGACGAGGTGTCTTAACAGCATTTCGAAAAGCGAGTTCCAGAGAGCCTGCGATGCATGGAAAACGCATTGGCAAATGTGTATTTTACATGTATGATCAATAAATCTATTTTTTTAAATAGGCTCATTACTTTTGGGACAAACCCTGTATGTTTCGGGTAGTGAGATCTTGATGGCTATATGCTTTTTAAGTTCTACAGGTAGAAACGTTGTCCCTTCTGCAGTTTAGAGGCTACGTAATAGTCTTAGCGTTACATACTCTTTGTATTGGCGACTCTATCTCTGTTTCTGGTAGTCAGACCTTGGTGGCTTACCTTTGGTGGCAATTAGAGGAAAAAAATCACCGTCACTTATGATACTAAAGTTGCTGCAAGACCGTCTATTTGTAGTTATTCCAAAATATTGAGGACAATCATAGGCAACACACAATGCAGCTCTCTTTCAGAAAATTTTCATTTTTTGCCTGTAGTGGGCGTTAAGTTTCTGTAAACCTATAAATATTTCACTATGTAACAGCTACTTGTACTTCGAATTAAAAACGATTTACACAGTAACGCACATGCAAGGCCACAACCACCATTAAAATTGAGGTACCTAGTGATGAATTGGATAACACGGCAATAAAAATTGTAACAAGCCCATAAACTAAATTAAGGATATTGTACAATAACGTACGGCGGTTTCCTGCTACCGACTGTATAATTAAGCGCATTGTGCTGGAGGCTCACCATCTTGCTGGTCGCGTCCACATCTCACTTTTGAGCATCAGAAGCACGATGGTCTGCGGGTTGATACATTCATCGACCCTGAGCACCAAACGCTACCGTTGCGCGAGCTTATCCTTTCCTCCGTAGTCGGTGACCCCCCTGTTTATCCAGTGTAGATACTCGCCCACCTCTCCATGACCGGTGAGAAACCTCTTTCAGACCCATAGACTCAGATCTGGAACGAGGGTTTTTGTCCACGATCCCCCCTGGTTCTTCCTGTCCCTCTCTCCTTACCAGGAGTCCCAAAGGAGGAATGCCTATTACATATAGAACTAGGGTGGGTGCTCCCTCGCCCTCTTGAGGGCCACCGTAATTCTACACAGCGCTTTATACACTATAGCGGTTCGCGGTTCTATATGGTTCTTGTCTAATTTCACTCCTGGTAGGTCAACTGTTCTGGGACAGTACCCGCTACCAGCGCCGAATACGTTTTCGCCCCTACAAATTCACTTGGCATTCATCCTTTTCCTACAGATGTCACAGCGTCCGACGCAGGGCACTTCTTGATCCTGCAGGCTCTTAGGATGACTCTGGAGGTGCGTTTCGCATGCCCAGAGAGGTCAAGACGGTTACCTCCTGTGAGCGTTCATGACCAAAGAATGGATTTTTTTCAGGGTATCCTTCGTGTCTTTACCTTTCACGAAACCAACTTGCGAGGAAAGTTCAACCAGACCTGACAGATGGCGGGCATCATCTGACTTTCCCCTACTCCTTCTTGGGAATGACAACAATGGGCGCCTTTTTTATTCTTTACGGGTATCCATCACTAGTTTGAATGCACCTTGAAATTCCCAGCTGCTGTCGCCAGCGGTAGTTCATCGGGCCCGAGAGCCCACTGACGAGGTAGTCGTGGTATTCTGTATCTCCGTGCCTTCGATAATAGTCTCCTGGAGCTACTCTCCGGTATGTTGTGCCAGTAGAACAATTCCTCCAATTTCTTAATGATCCCATCATCATTATGAATTGTGCTGTTCGCATATTCTTCTCTTTCCTTCAACTTGTGATGACATACCCCTGTGGTTAGGCAAATTGTAAGACACTAAGTATGATAAAAAATACAAAACGCTAAGTGCATACAACAACGATCAAATCTTCGACTTAAGAAGTGTTATTGTGTCTGTCCTAGTATGTCCATGGTGACCACTTCTTAGCTCCCCCGTACCGTTAGGAGGGCCACCTTCGTTTTGTCGGGGACAAATCTTAGTTTTTTGTTCTCCATCCACTGGTTGACAGTATTCCAGCCCAGTTCTTTGCTCATTCCCTTCGTTAATTACTTTTAGACCCGCCTTTGTGCCCTTGTCACATATGTCCACAACAAGTACAACGAATTTTTGAAGGTAAGAAAACTTTTTTTTATAAATTGAGCACGTCATTTTAGTATTGGTACTTGCTCCGACCAGTGACAACAATAGCCCACTTTAACAAAAAAGTAGGTGCAGAACTTCTGCCTTAATTGATCAATATGAATTACAATAATCGTAAAGAGGAGTGCATTGGCCACGTCTTTTAATTAAACGGTATTCTTACGTAAGGTACTTACCTACTCTGCAATTGTCACTTAAATTTTAGTGGATACTATTCCACAGGTTTACACTTAGACCTACACTGATCTCTAAAATGGTTTTATTTGAATGCACATTAACTAAATGGTGTGTAATAACATTGGCATTGACCTTTTTTTATTAGGATCAAACATATTCTATTAAAATATCGATTGTGTTAATCTTTTCCCTTGAAATTATTGCATATATGATACAAGATCGAGTAATTATTTTTTAAGGATCGTTCCCTTCCGTAAAGGACTTTCTGTGTGTTCCGTAAGTCTGGCGAAGCAATCAACAATTTAGGACAAAACACCTAAAATCTCGTTTTCCTCAGCCCTTTGAATTTTTTTCTAGTCTATATAACTTTTGATTGAGAAGTCTGATCGAAAAAGTACAAATTGATGATTGGATTCTACGATTCACATCCAAATTAATAAGAAAAAGTGTTTTCCCGAGAAATTTTGGTGTAGTCGATTTTTGGTGAAAAAGGAAGGTAATAAAAAAGGAAGTTACAGCCCTTTGAATTTTTTTCTAATCTATTAGTTTTGACTGAGAAGTCTGATCGAAAAAGTACAAATTGATTTGGATTCTACGCACCCAAATTAATAAAAAAAAGTGCTTTCCCGAGAATTTTTGGTGTAGTCAATTTTTGGTAAAAAAGGAAGGTAATACACTGCCTTTTTTTGAGCCCCGAAAAAAAAATTGTCTCAGATTGACCCGGAAAAAATTTTCTTATAGAATGTGACCTGTAGAATCCATAATTTCAAACAGTTCCAAGATTGGGCTACTAGTTCAAAAGTTACAGCCCTTTGTATTTTTTTCTGGTCTATAACTTTTGATTGAGAAGCCTGATCAAAAAATTACGATTGATTTAGATTCTACGCACCCAAATTAATAAGAAAAAGTGTTTTCCCGAGAATTTTTGGTGAAGTCGATTTTTGATAAAAAAGGAAGGTAATACACTGCCTTTTTTGAGCCCCGAAGAAAAAATTTTCTGATTGACCCAAAAAAAATTTTCTTATAGAATGTGTCCTGTAGAATCCATGATTTCAAACAGTTCCAAGATCGAGCAACTAGATCAAAAGTTAAAGCCCTTTGAATTTTTTGTCGAAATTCTGACAGCGCCAATCGATAGCGCTGGTCGTGACCTTTCCAACGAGAGGCGGAAGGCATATCTACGACGCATCGTTCTCGAGATATTACGGTTTGAAGTTTCGACCAAAAATTCTGACAAATATTGCACGCATTGTCCTTCGTGATCATAATACAAACGCATCGCGACCACATTCCGGGAACATCTACAGCCGAGTCGACTATTTCCATTACGCCTAAAACAATGCATTAATAGACCTACAATATACTGCATCGCATTTTTTTACAAAACAACTTCAGCGTCTCATTTTTAATTAATTCTATAAAAGTAACACGACTAACAAACACAAAATTACATTAAATCACTATAAAACACCCAAATTAAATCTCGTAACATTGACGTGTGTCCACAGAATATGGCCTTCTTCTTATTCTGTGCGTGTGTCAAATTTCATTTCACAAAACGCACAACTGCCCTGTGATGGCGCTGTAGATGTTGGCTTCATAAATTTGACTTTCCTAGCAATCCAGTTATTTTTTCATCCAAGGTCGTAAGTTGTATATACAGGGTGGAAGCTCTCAAGGTATAGGTATAATTTGGTATTGCCATTTAAACAATGATATTGCACACCCTAACAATATTGCTCGCATTGTCCTTTGTGATCATAATACAAACGCACCGCGACAACACCATATATACAAAATGTGAAACAAATTTACTCAGTCCTTAGTCCGGGAACATCTACAGCCGAGTCGACTGTTACTATTGCGCCTAAAACAAATGCATTAATAGACCTAATTAAAATGAAGACCCTCAACTTTACTTACTGATTTTTTCTGTTATTCTGCCAGCAATTAAATTAACCGCACCACATAATACCAAATAAGGTAAACATAAGTCCAAATTTGAATGGTGTAAATCCATGTAAAAAAAGAATAACAACAATTACATAGGAGTCTATTATTATACCACTGAATTGCACCAATCGGATCCGCCCACCACGCCCTCTTCACTGTTGGCTGCGCTGCTGCACCTGTTTAGTAGACAAATAAAAGATGGAAAAAAATTTGATACTTTATTATCAATATAATTTATATACTTCCACCCAAATATACAGACGTGATTAATGTAATCAGTACAATAGGTAATTTATTAATAATCACATGTGCAACATGACCAATTTCTTATATATCAAATATGATCGCCAAGAGTAATAAATTAAACAGGATAAGCATAAATAACAAATATTCAATTAAAATTTGACAAGACTAGATCTGGAGCGTGCATAAATTCGTAAAAACATTAATGAGTCAATATAGTCGTCCGCCAGTTCTACTCTCATGTCATAATAAAACTTTTACGTACACGTACAATGGTAAAAACAATGACACAGCCTAAACCATATATTGCAAATTTGATAAAACTCGAAATATGCCGTACCGTTACATACGACGGCTTACTTACTCATCATCGCATATATTAAACTTTTCATACGCAGTGTCTTTATAAAAGCAATTAATTAGAACACACCACCGTCATGCGACAGTGCCAACAGACGTAATGCAATTAACAATTCTTTAAAAATAAGAATAAATAATTAAGGTTAAGGGTTATCAGCTTAATACATAACAATAAAACATCTTCGCCCGTTAATGGTTGAACTCCGAGTTCAAATGAACACTTTTGTCAGTCAGGCGTAAGTACCTAAGAGTCTCGAATAACTTTTAAAAAAAAAGTTCAAGATTGCTCTCGAATCCAGCTGCAGAGGTCACTCGTATAAAATTACTTTAAAATGATGAGATAAATATTTGCATTTTCAAACAAATGCATACTAAAAAGAAAATATCAACTGACAGTATTGATATACCAATCACACACAGTATGATAAAAGACTTAACCACATGCAAAGCCATTCATTTCTAAAAATTCAGAGACCATTTTTGTGCACAACACTTAGTGTAGTCCCAGATTCCAATAAAACTGGAAATTAGATCATCAAATTTTTTTTAAACTTGATTCGTGGGAGCCAGGTTTTATTTCGGGTTTTTTGCCGAAACTGCGCATGTCATGACGTGTATAAAGGACTAAGGAAGGGGGGGGGGATGTCAAAACTAAACCCATTGGGTTGAATTTACTTCTTAAAGTCGTCCTCGCTGCTCCAGCCCGTCTCCTGTTCCTCGAGCTCCTCCTGCCAGCGCAACTCCAACTCGCGCATGTCGTTTGCTATGTCCTCCTCGTACATCGCCTCCTCCGTCATTCCGAGACCGGCGCTTCCGTTTCGGTAGTGGTTCATCGCTTGGTTGAGAGACGAGACGATTTTATTCTAAAAAATTCCGATCGTCAAATATTTTTTTAGGCTAAAGTCGAGTGCTGCCAAACAGGCGAAAGAGGTGCAGTTGTAAAAATTCTGTCCAATTAAAATTTGTTTTACAAACAAATACAAGTTGGCAGATCTGACAAAGGATCTTAATAAAGTCACTAGATATAGAAAGTACCGCAATCATCCGCCATTTTTGGGCAAATTTGCTGCCAACTTAAAAAAATTGACAAATAAAATCTGAATAGCTGTAATTTTTTATAACCTAACCTCATAGTACTGTCATGTTTTATAAAAATATATACAGATATCTCCAAACAGGTGGAACAATCCCTAACATTAAAGTTACTAGAATCTGGTAACTTCCGCCATTTTTGGGCAAAAATCAAGCGTTCTCTCTCTAACACACGAGCCCAATGGATTGCGGTACTTTCTATATTTAGTGACTTTAGATCTTAAACTAATGCAGCGCCACCTGTACATCAGTCCACTCACCAAACACGCCTCCTTCTGTTTCTCTTGAATGCCCTGCTCGATTAAGTGCAACTCCTGGGTCAGCCGATCGCCCTCGCTCAAGCTCGCGACCCCTTGCGTTGCCAACTTTAAATCGTCCAGCTGCCTCTCCAAGTTGCGAAGTTGCATTTTCACCCTCTGCGACTCGGCGAGCAGCTCCTTCGAGGGATCCTGCATTCTCTGTATGATGACCTGCGGTGAACCTGAGCGCCAAAAAAACTTACTTTTAGGTTTGGAAATCGGAGAACAGATCAAAATTGAAATAATGATCTGACACAACAAAATATAAACACAATTCCGTCCTGATTGTGAAGCGTTATGGGCAGCATTCTGCGCAATTTTGTTCGAAGTAATTTTAATATTCCTGAAGGAGCCGACCTAACAAACAATATATCAGTAATTTATTATGCGAAATTTAACATTTTTTGTATTTCTTTTTGAGTCGAACCAATACTTTAAATCTCGTAACGCAGCACCCGTTTTCCGCATTGACGTTCAGACTCAAAGTTATACACACACCGTATATTTGTGGAGTAGACCAGCTTTGCTGAACATCCGGTATCTAGAAGCGTTTCAAGTTGGGCACTTCGTTACTAAGTAGTTTCTGAATTTTTTTATGTGCTCTAGGAGACGAGGAGTAAGCTTTGTGTGGTCTCATTTTGTTTAATTGTTTGTCATACCGTGGATATTTAAATTGTTTTTATCGCCTCCGATTGCGCCGCTTGGCCTCACATTTCAAGAAAAAAGGCTGGACCTCCGAATTTGGAGATTTCATTCCGACTATTTGGATAAGTATAATTAACCGTAATTACATGAATCGATTACAGTAACAACCTCCGATTAAGTCGAGATTACATCCGTTAGGTGCGCTCTTAAAAAACCTAAAGTTTGACATCGGTCCCATATTTTTCCGATGTCGGCGATCTTTTTACTTTTGCATCGTCGCAGTTACGTTTTGTAAGTATAGAAATTTGGAGCTCTGCCGTAAATTTACTTTTGCAACAATACCGTATTTAAATCTTTTTGCCTTTTGCATTAAGTTACCGCGTCGTTTTCATTGGAATTCATTCAGGCACTCACATTTAGCCTACTATTCAGTAATCCGGATAATACACTAATTCGAATACACCTCTTGCATTTAATTGTCCGGATTAAAGAGAAAGAGAAAGAAAAAAGTACATGCTTACTGTATTGAGTAGCATTTTTATTACGAATACGATGCACGGCACGGCAACAAAAGTTGGGAACTGTTGACACGGTGTTAACAAACAAGTTTTCAAAGAATTTAAAATGTGCACAGTGCAACAATCGACAACACTTCCAAGTATTTAAAGTGTACACAGTGTGATTATACAATGAACTGCAGACCAAAGTAGAAAGTTAGAAATATTAGCTGTCAAAGTAAAATTAGCGGCAGCTAATCTAATGAGTTGCAGTAAACACCATCCGATTAAGTTGCGAGTGGTCTCAAAAGAAGTGCTCTTAATTAATTTGAATGACCAATTACAGATTTTTAGGACGTCCGCAAGCCGCCCAATTAATTAAATTCTGTTCCACTAATTTTAAGAGGGAGGGGGGATATTGTTTCGCTTTCCTGCGTTTACTTTCCCGTCGACACCGCTAATTAATTTGTTTTAGACCGATTCGTGAAGCTGCCGTTGGTTTACCCAAGGCTTGCGAAACCCTTCCGCAAACTACTACCGCCGACCTTGACCAAGGGCAAGGCCGTATTTACGGAGTGGCGCTCGAGTACGTCCGTTCGCTGACGTGATTTATTTACAATAATTTGTATATTTATTTAACGTTCGCCGGCTCTGCTATTTCCTATATAAATAAAAATGAATCTTTGTCGGTCTGTCTGTCTCTTATACCTGCCTAAACCGTTCATCCGATAGCGATAAAACTTTGGGAAACGGTTGGACGTATGCCCGCGAAAGTTTTTGAGTTAGTAAAACACTTTCCGAAATTACCACGGGAACGGAAAAAACGCGATTTTACGATTTACAAGAGACATTTAGAACGTAGGTTTCTTCGAAGGCGTTAATATTGTACCTAGAAAGAGCTTCCCGAAGTTCCCACGGAAACGGGTACGGGGAAACGAAGTTCGCCATCTTCGTAAATAACAAAGGTGGCATATAGCACACTTGTGCTTGTGTAGTATTTTTGGTTATCTTTCATGGGCAAAACAAAAGTCAGTGGCGTACTTGTGCATGGTCACGGGGGAAAAAATGTTCACCCTGTATCTGCACGATTTATATAATATTAAAACGTACCTATAGTAACGTATCCGTCGCCGATGCCGGAGCCCGCCGACGTGACGTAGGTGGGCGCGATTCCGCTCTGATGGTACGCTTGAGGATTGCCATAGTACCAGGGCGTGACGGGACTGGGTGCGGACACGGGACGACGCACCTGCACAACGGGTTGTGACCTCGAAAACTCGCCCACTCGAGTACTTACCATCGAGGTGGAAATTGGCGGCTCACGAAACTGCGTCGAGACCTGGTTCGTGGGTACATTCTCCTTGTGCATCCTCGAAATCGGGCCAAATTTGCTCACGCATGGCGCGTCGTAGGGCACGTACTCGTCGTCCTTCAGTATCGAGTCGGACCGCACAAACGTCGGTCCCGAATTGATCTGACCGGTCCAGAACGTGTACGGCGAATCCAAATCGTACGACTCTTGCAGCGCCAGGTTCGTGGCCGTGTTCGAAATCGTAATCGCCGCGTTCTTTCCGACCACCTTTTCCAGTTGGGAGATGACCTCCTGCTTTCTCTGCTGCAGCTCGGCCAAACTGGTCAGGCTTCGGTTCTTCGATATCTGTTGCAAATTCGTTTGGTTCTTATTGATCTGATCGGTGGAAGGCAAATGGTGTAAAATTCGAAAATGGAAAAGTGCCAACTTACCATTTGATCCCAATTGGGCCGTCTCGCGTACTCGATCGTCTGCTGATTAATCGGCGCGGTGGTGGCGTAATCCGGTTGGGGCGGATAAAATTGACCGCCGTTTGTGAGCACCACGTTCTGAGGCGTGTTTCCGTATATTTCCGGATAACTTGACGCGTTCGTCCCGTACAATTGCGGCGTGGAATAGTGCGAGTTATTCGAAAAGCTCGGGTTGTAAGGTACATCGTAGTTGATTCGCGGGAGCGAGACTACGGCCGGTATTGGAACGGGACTTACTGTAGTTGCCGTGTTTGCTATTGGATAGTAGTCTTCTACTTGATTATACGAGCGTTCGGTTGGAGATTGACTGTCTATGTGCTCTCTCGAAGTGCCATTGCGTACGACGGATTTGCGATTCTTTGCACGATACCTAGACGTAGATCTACCATAATTTTCAATATGCCGCATCGTAGTGTAAAGAATAGACTAGCCAGACTTTTTGGAAACAACACATTTACTGGAAGTCTAAATTTTTAACATCGAAATGTACATTTAACTTGTAAAGAAAGCGCTCGGGAGGTACGCCAATAAGATACCATTGTAGAGTAACTTACTTATAACTGGCCCACATTTTTTTTTTGAAAGTTTTAACATGTTTACTGCTGCTGACAGTAAGGCCAAAGAGTGCCTGTAGGAAGTTGACCTAGGCGGAACTGCGTCTATTATAATAAAGTAACATTATTCTGTAAGTGGGACCATTGAACCTCCACCGCCGGCCATTTCACCCTGTAATACCAGTCCGCGTTTCCGTGGCCGATCGGTGTCGAGTACTGCCATTTATGCGTTCACTCGTAGTAAACCGCCGATTAAAGGCTCAGTCCACGAGCACGTCGGTAAATATAAAATGGCACACAAGGTCCATTTGAAAAAGCGCAACTTTGAGCTAAGTATACCTCGAAAACCGTGCAAAATAGAAAAAAAATATATGGGTCCCTTACGCACTATTACGAACTATTTTTATTAGCATTCGCCGTTTGGTAATTTTTATGCTCGAGTGTTGTGAGAATGTAGTTAGGGTTGATTTTTAAAGAGGCGCGTGTAAAAATTTCCTTTCCCGTAGCCGAAAAAAAGTTTTTCCAGTACAGTACAGTAATATTGTAGGATAAAGTAAGCCAGGGGGCGTTTTATTTGGCTATGAGGAGCCACCCTGTAGCATATTTCAATTATTGTTAATAACGTTAAATGTGGTTGTTTATTAGAGATTAAACGTAATGTCGATCATATTTGATTTTGAGGTCGATTTTGTTTTGTATAAGAATTATTGGTTATTAATATTAATAAATAAATAAATAAAATAAATAAATCTCCGGTCTTAGATAAGAAGTTGTGTTATCGCGACGTAAGCTAATTAGTTTATAAGAAAACAGGTGCAGTTTATGGTTCGACAACGCATTAATTTATTTAGGAAGTGGCGGTGGAAGTTAAAACCAAAGGGATCTTGTTTTAAAGACAAAAGGCGGACATTAATCGTGTTTTTTTTGTGGTGTACGTTTGAAACATAGCCGTTTGGGTGTTAGTCTAAGCGGTACACAGAAAAATCTGACGAATAATGCAGAAAGCATGCCGTTTGGCATGGTGGATTTTTATGTCCAAAAGAACGATTTGGCCTGCAGCACCCCCTTCCCCCACCATGTGGAACCAATATGGCGGCTATTTAAGAACCAATATGGCGGCTATTTAAGAAAAAATCTGTTTCTGACTAAAAATATACAGGGTGGGGCAGAGAAACATCCCTACTTTTGAGGTGGCATTGTCAGTAGTGGGGACATGTTGGAGGAGTGGGGGTAGGTTCGAATGACACTGTGGCCACGGAATTTTCCGATAGTAGCGCTGTCAGTTGTAGACATGGCTTGGTCGAATGAGCAACGCGCTTTTGCTGTCGAGACGTATTTTTCTCAGAATAAGTCTATTGTTACAGTGCAGCGTGCGCTGCGAACTCGTTATCGGATTCCTCCTCGCAACCGCAAATCCGTTTTTTTGTGGGTGGAAAACTTCCTTGCATGTGGTAATGTAGTGAAAAAGGAGAGTTGGGGCTCAAAGGACCGTCCGTACTGCGGAAAACAGTGACCGTGTACAGTAGTGTATTGACAAAGAGGGACATCACTTGAATGATGTGGTGTTTAAAACAAAGTAAAATTATTATTAAAATTAACTTCCAACTGTACCCTTCTGATGACTCAATAAAGTTTTGTTCTAACATTTTTCGTTTTTTTTTAAATTTACCTTCAAAGTTAGGGGTACTTCCCTGCCCCACCCTGTATATTTGTATTTCAAGGATGGCATGCGAGTAATGTTTTAAAGATAATTGGAGGTCGCTGATTTCAAATCTGAGGTCAAAATGTAATAAATTTAAGTTTTAATTAGTTTTATCCTTCATGGTACTCTAATGAAAGGTCTCAACGAAAGGAATTAATTTCTACCAACCATAGCCCTCCTCCTCGACCTCTTATAGTGATCGGGTATATTCCCTTATACCTCAAGAACGGATTGTCGGAAGAGGGCACTCACAAAGGGCGATTGAGACGTCTGCAAGAAATATATCCATTGGTGATGTCAAAACAAAAGCTATTTCGGTTAAAAAATGCGCTTTATCTGCACAAGAGTTGGCCACAATTTATACTTGTTTAATTTTGATAACACTGTTTGGTTTTGATGAAACATACGCTCAGCTCAAGCGGCTCTGCCACCTCGACTCGCTCTGATTTGTAACGGTCCATAGCTCGGCTTCGCCTCGCACTTTTCACAGTTCAACAAAGAGAATTTTTCAGTTTCCGTTGTGGTACGGTAAGAAAATGATATTGAGCAGACTGACTTGACAATTTTTTTGAATTTGTGAGTAATATTTTTGATTTTTTGGAAACATCATCTATACAAAGTGAGTTTTTTGTGAAATTTTTGATTCAACTTGTTGAATCCAGATCTCCATATAATTTTACATAAGATTTTTAAATTTTGGTAACAATTTTTGGTTTTGATGAGACATACGCTCGGCTCCGGCGGCTTTGCCGCCTCTCCTCGCTCTGATTTGTAGCGGTGCATAGCTCGGCTTCGCCTCGCACTGTTCAACAAAGACAATTTCTCAGTTTCAGTTTTGGTACGGAATATTGAGCAGACTGATTTGACATTTTTTTTGAATTTGTGAGTAATATTTTATTTTTTGGAAACATCATCTATCCAAAGTGACTTTTTTTGAAAATTTCGATTCAACTTCTTGAATCCAGATCTGCACATAATTGTACATAAAATTTTTTAATTAACACTTTTTGCTTTTGAGGAGACATCCGCTCGGCTCCGGCCTCGCCTCACTCTGATTTGTAAAGGTGCATAGCTCGGCTTCGCCTCGCACTGTTCACTGTTCAACAAAGACAATTTCTCAGTTTCAGTTTTGGTGGGGTAAGAAAGAAAATGATATTGAGCAGACTAAATTGACAATTTTTTTTAATTTGTGAGGGATATTTTTGTTTTTTGGAAACATCATCTATACAAAGTGACTTTTTTTGAAAATTTCCATTCAACTTGTTGAATCCAGGTCTGCACATAATTGGACATAAGATTTTTTAAATTTTGGTAACACTTTTTGATTTGATGTAAGGGTCCATAGCTCGCCTTCGTCTCGCAAATCGCGCATAACGCAAAATTTTTTCTCCTCTCCTTGGCCCTCTACGAATTTTTAAACTAAAGATAGTTTTACTTTTTATTAGTAAAATGTATTTTTTTACAAAATCAAAATTCTAATTATTTATCCAACAATTATTTTATGATTTAGATCGACATTAAAACAAAACAAAAATATATTAACTGGAAGAGTATTTTTATAATATTTAAATGAGTAATTAGAGTGTAAATTGCTTGAATTTTGATTTTTTTGACGCAGATTTGAAATCAGCGACCTCAAATTATCCTTAAAACATTACTCGCATGCCATTCTTGAAATATAAATATATATTTTTTAGTCAGTGACAGTTTTTTTCCTAAATGGCCGCCATAATGGTTCCACAGGGTGGGGGAAGGGAGTGCTGCGGGTCAAATCGATCTATTGGACATACACATCGTTTATGGCAAGTGGCTTGCTTTCTGCATTGTTGGTCAGATTTTTTATATGTACCGCTTAGACTATGTTGGGCGTACTGCCATAGGTATGTTTAATTGTACAGTTGTGCAGAAGAAAGGTAGGCAGAGAAGTGAGGTTCTGAAATACCATTCAGCTTCGTTTTTTGTGTTACGTGGTAGTGCGCCTGTTTGTTGAAAAGCGCAATTTTGCCCTGATTATTTAACTTTATTTATTTAAATTTAATTTGTTTAAGCAATCGCTTGTTGCGTGTTACCTGGCCCTGGGTGCCTATATTTTTTTGCAATTTCTTTAATTGATTTTTGTCGAATAAATTTGTTCATCTGTAAATGGTTAGTTTTGTGATTAATCGAGCCCAAATTACGACTCAGATAGAAGTTCTCAAGTTAAATATATAGGCGGATTTCCAAAAAAATATCAGATATCGCACAATTTAGTTTTCCTTTTCTCTGTAAAGTCGTCTCACTATTCTACTCTTTACATTATGGTGGCAGCTCCTAAACTAATTGTAGAGAAAGGCACTTACTTTTCAAGTTCCTCATTAGAGTGCGCAAATGTACAATTGGAACCGCGCGGGCAGCTGCCCCTCAACGTGAGATCGCGACACATGCTAATTTTGTACTTCGCATGCTGCGAGTGGGCGGAGTCCTGCAGTTTACGGCTGCCGTGCTGATGAATGAAGTCGACCAATCCCGCCACCACTTGCTTGACGGCGAGCAAAACCTCACTGCACTCTTTCCACAATGGTATCGAGGACTCTACAAAGTTGCTACGTTAAAAAAAGCGTAAGCGCCGATCGAGCTTACCTGGACTAGGATCAATTCCGGCAAGAAGTTCGAGATGAGGTCTCAGGATCGATAGCTTTCCAGGATCGCCCGTTCTCTGTAAGGCGATTACGAGCTCCTGAACCGACTGGGCGAACGACTGTGGCGTTTGTAACTTATCGATGATGCTCTGCATGTGCGACTTATGAGCGGTGTCGCCGTAGAGCAAGGCCGACCACTGATCGGGCGCAATTCGCAGGCCGGCCTCGGTCGCGATCTGTACAATTTGGGCGTCGTGCTCGCGACGCAGCGCCTCATAGGTGCGAAACTCCTCTTTTAATTGCATTAATGACGAATCACCCTCACGCTTCGAAACCTGAAAGGGGGTACATCAGTTACAGCGGGTCGTTTGGGATAAGGAGTTTTATTGTTCGTTTCATAATGAAGAAGAAGATTATGGTGTGCCCTTAAATATTGGAGACGAAGTTGCGAGTTTCGCGACGGTATTTTTTTACGCTAAATTTTCGGGCAGTCAGCCCTATTTTTTAATTGAACACGCAGTTCGTCACTAGTTTGGTATTATAAAGCAAAGTGAAGTTCAGAAGTTGTCATCATTTGTATGTGAGTTAAGTGCGCCTAGTATCGCAACCTTTTACGACCAGATTATTTTAAGAAAAAGAGTAATTTTAAGATTCCGTATTTTTATTTGTAGACCGCCGGCGTACGGGGTATGCAACGGAAGCTTGTTGGTACAGTAATAGAAGAATTTTTAAATCTACAAAAAACTTGAAAAATTTAACAAGCTTCCGTTACAGCACCCCCTTCTTATTTTTAAAAGCAAAACAAATTTGAAAAACAAGTTAAAAATAAACGGAAATTATCCCAAAATTATTTCGCTTATCTGACATTGTCAATCGATTAAATGTGTGTCTATTCAAATTCATTGTGCGACCCAGAGATAGTATTCATGTCAGATTTTTCTTTTCTTGCCCAAGAATTATATTATGGAGAAATTAAAAAGTCTGTTTCCATTTGATTTATTTTGAGCTAGCTGGAAAGAAGTTTTGTGGGTGGCCTAGTGACCGCATGCCATTTAATACAGCAATATTTAACCATTTTTTCAAGCAAGACTGACTAATTTGACTATTTAAAAAAGTAATAAAAGAACTTGGTTAATTAATTAATTTAAATCTCGCTTTTGATGAATAAATAAAACTGTACAGTGATTAATACATCTAAAGTCTAAAGGTCAAAGATCAGACCATCGACTCGGGCCCGAGCTCTTAACTTACTTTGAAACATGACGCTCTGTAAAGTAACTGAACCACATGCCCGATACTTGTCTTCGAGGCTTGAGGAAAGTGAGGCTCCAACCTCTGCACAACGAACATCACCAAAACCTTCCTAGACAGAGCCGAACCGTCTTCCAGCGCCAACAGCACCAGCTTCAACACCTCCTCTTGCATGGCTACAACAAAAACGGTTACCGCCACACGCACGACGGACCCGACTCACCCGGCCCCAAAAACTGACAACCCCTCGCCCGAACGGCCGCCCACAAATTCGCCGACAGCTGCTGGGGATTCTGATGTTGCAATATGAGCTCGGTGACGGTACGTTCCCCGAGCGACCGTGCCGCGCGCATGGCTCGCACGCGGCCCTCGTCCTCGACCAGCTGGCAATTGATCAGCGTCACCAGCTTTCTCTGCATCGGCCGCGACAGTATGCTGGCGCTCGCGTTTCCGTTCGAGAACGGTTTCAAGTAGATGGCGAGCTCCTCGACGCATTTCTTCGCGGAAACGTAATGCGGCAAGTTCTCCTTGGGCACCACTTTGAGATCGACGTAGTCCTCGGCGTCTCCCTTACTTGTCGTGGCCCCGACGAGTTGTAGCAGCGCAGAGTTTACGGGAAGACAGTCTATGTCTATACTTATTGTTGTCTGATCGAAAGGACATTGCTTTCTGTGCAGATTGGAGAGGCATGTTTTACAAATCGTGTGCCCGCAACCGAGACTGATCGGGCTTCTCTGAAGGACGTCAAACTCGTTACAACATACCGGACAAGACAGGAACTCCGTCCACTGTGGAGCCTGAATTGGCATTCTGCAATATGAGAAAATATGGTTGAGTTTCCTTTGTTGTCCAGGAGTTTCCTTATCATAATGTTGTGGTTTATGGATGAAAAATAAATACGAGGACGTTGTCACGTACTTCATAATGAAAATAAAGATGATGACACTTATGGAAGTGCCACCTAGGCAAGTATTGCAAACGCATCTTGGTAACTACACAGCGAGAGATTTATAACGAATTGTTTATTTATAGATAGTTAAATGTGCAAATAAATACTACCTTGAGTAATTTACGGCGACACATTACATTATATTAAACTGACAGGCATCACAACATATTTGTTGTGAAATTGCCTTATGAGAACTTCTAGAAACGTCAATGAACGTCAAATGATGACAAATGTGATTAGTCATACTTGCCATTATTCCTACAAAATCGAGCTGCATATTTTATACCAAATGATATTTGCGATATATAGCGTGCTTCAGAACTAGAGGGCGGGCAAGTGCAAGGTTGTTTAAAGTCACTAGATATAGAAAGTACCGCAATCATCCGCCATTTTTGGGCAAATTTGCTGCCAACTTAAAAAAATTGACAAATAAAATCTGAATAGCTGTCATTTTTTATAACCTAACTTCATAGTACTGTCATGTTTTATAAAAATATATACAGATATCTCCAAACAGGTGGAACAATCCCTAACATTAAAGTTACTAGAATCTGGTAACTTCCGCCATTTTTGGGCAAAAATCATGCGTTCTCTCTCTAACACACGAGCCCAATGGATTGCGGTACTTTCTATATTTAGTGACTTTAAGGTTGTTTTATTAGAAAGGTTGTCTGGTAACTCTATACCAATAGAATGCTTGCATTTTGAAGGCGCGAGAACGTCATCCAGAATTCACATTTAAAATTGCTCATAAGTTAAAATGCTAATAAAAGAGGTAAAAAACTTAGTTTTTGCAGTATATTTTTGGATTTATATGGGTATTTGTATATAAGGGTGGATCTTATATTGAAAATCTTGGAAGTTTATCGACTTCCACCTTTGAAAGCAATCAAAGTATTGAAAAAATGAGTGTGGTGCGTAAGCTGTTTTACATTGCACGAGGACTTGTGAAAATGTAATCAAATTAATTTTAATTCCGCGTTCTACAAAATAGGAACCACCCCTATGTACCAATACCTAGCCTTTGGGAATTAAAACTCTAAAAATTCTTTAGCGGATGACGCCAAATAAAATGCTGTTCCGTTTTATGGAATATGTATATTTATAGTATGTACAAAATGGTAACCGAGGTGCACACGGTTAGCTCTGTCGTTGGGGTGAACCCAGATGCAGGTCTTCTGACATGGAGTGTGGCGCGAGGTCGAGCTGGCAAGGCGACCTGGTTCTGCAGATGGAGAGCTTTTTGTTTCTTGAAGTGCAGTCGAAGCAGAAATTGCGTTGCACTTTGCAGATTTCGTGGCTCTGCTTTTAAACGTTTGCGGCCAAAGACGCTACGCTTTCATCGGTTGGCCGTTTTGACCAATGAGGGCGCAGCACGTTTTAGTTTGCTGCCGGATGTGAAACATTTTCTCACCCATTCTTTAAGAACGGTAGGGTCCTTGGGAAACGTAAAAACCGAGATTTTATTTACACCAGGATGAGGAATTTTAGTGTTACCGCCACTCATCTAAAAAAATACTTAATTATAACATACAAAAGTACATATAATTGATGAACTAACCTTTCAATCCACGGCTATGAAAACCCACAAAATTCACAAACTAAATGTTTTTACGAGTATATTGCACCAAACAGGTATCTACAGCTAATATATATCCTTATGCACTTCAAAATTCAACAAATTTTAAACAAATAAACTATAACTCAAGAAAAATAAGTACCCGCGCGACTACAAACTACAAACAACGTCGAACGTCAATGTCTGAATTCTCGATGACGTATACATTCCCTTCCTCCCGCTTCCGCCCACATAGTTACCAGGTAACCTTTGAAATAAAATAACCTTGGGGCAAGTGGGCATTCTACCGTGTGTAAATTCGTCTATGTTGGCAATATCGTAAACGTGGCAACCGCACATTTGTAAGTTTTGTAAAATAATCACTTTGTATGAAAAATGACTTCGTATGATGAATGGCATTAACAAGTAATGAAGTGTTTAGTTTACATAACCTCAATTTTTCCAAAATGTAATTCAAAATGAGCGTGGCGGAAAAACTGAAATCGTACGAAAACTTTATCGAAGAAAAGCTCAAAAACGACTTAAAGGAACTCGAAACTGCGCTAACGAAAAAGAGCGACGATTTCAAACTATGGCAAGAGTTGAAGAACTCCCTTGTACATTTAAAGGAGGCGAAAGATGACGAACTGAACGTTACCTTCGAAATGGGACTGGGAGTATTCATTGGTGCAAGAGTGGAAGAGAGGGAAAAGGTGATCGTGAATATCGGATGCGATTGTTACCTGGAAATGTATTACGATGAGGCGATTAAGTACGCCGACATACGTATGAAGTATTTAACTAAGGAGATCGAGTTCTTTCGACAGCAGGCCGTTAACGTCAAAGCCCATATTAAGCTAGTATTGCTGGCGATGAACGAATTGAAAGAGTAAACATGTACTTTAATAAATTGTACCTGAATTCTTACAAACTAATGTCTTATGATTGTTGCATAATTTGCAATTAAAATGCATGCAAAATGTACACTGGTCACATTTAAGCTTTGGAAATGTGCACCAACTGATAAAGTCATAGATAAATCGTACAAACTTGATGTCCCCTAAAATAGAGATCTTAGTTCCAGGCCCTTTCTGTTTATAGTGACCTCCCTCCCCTTGCATGCTTTCCAGAACTTTATGTTTGCTACCAGAGCTTTCTATGCCATTCCAAAGCTTTCCAGACTCCTGCAGCTCTGGAAAGGCATAGATGTGTACCAAAGGCGATGCTCTACCTATTAAAGATCAGAAAGCCCTACAACGCTCTGGGAAAATGCTTTCCAGAGCACTTCTTTCCTCTCGGAGCTCTCCGGTTCTTAACCTAACCGCCATCCTCTTTCCAATGCTTTGAAAAAAGCAATATGGTCTAGAAAGCGTTGGAGAGAGAGGGCGGTTCTTTTCTAAAAAATGATTAAATGTAGGTAGATACTTGCAAACCCATAACTTAAGAATCATCAAGGTTGAATATTGTTTTTGGTCAACCCTTGGGTTTTGGATTTTTTCTCAGGGTGTTACCTGATCGGGGGGACGACTTACCAAAACACTTGCACTTGGGAATAATTTGATATGTACAGCTTACATTATTCGCTTATGTCCATGCTGTAGGTGTTATATATGTAGGTATGTACATACTCCGCCTGTGTGCTATGTGGGTAAGGCTCAAGAAAATGGTAAAATATGTTATAAAACCTTGGAGGGGGCTCGAACACTTGTAAAGGTCTAGAGGTTCTTAGTGGCCCTTTGAGACTGAAACAATTTAAATGACCTTTGGTAGCTATAATTAGGTATTTATAATGCTGTAGAGTACAGGTGCTAAAAGACTCTTGAACTTTCGGTTAAGGACATTTAAAGGCACCATATTGCTTACAATTTTCTTGAATCAGGTTTACGATGGACCCTAAAACGTATACAAACGTAAGACACAGTACAAAATTTATTCAAGACTATAAATTACAATAAGATATTAGACTAGAAAGCTACTTTATTAGGACTAGCGCCTTGTATTTTAACCATGAACTTTTCCAGTCTGCCGAGCTTACTCTTCAACATTGAAATATCATCGCTATATGCCTCCTGTAACGGTCCGTCTGTTAGTAGGAAATAAGGAAAACTAACATCCAAAACTTACGAGCTTCCTCAGCCGAACCTTTAACACATTTACGTCCTCTAGAATACTATGGAAGTGACCGGTTATCTTTTTCACCTCCACGTTTTGTATTGACGAGATCGTCGCCAAGTTATCTAAAATAGTCTACTCACGAAATGAGAAAAATGCCACAACGGCACTACAGATTACCTTTTCAAGCTTGTGCAGTCGCTTGTCGAGCATTTCGTACTGTAAATCTTTGGCTTCCAAGGCGAGCTCTTCTCCATCTAATTGCATTTATCGGTTACTCATTTACGACAGGAGTCCTTACCTTCCTTACGGCACGATTGCCCATCACCCAGAAGGATGAAGCTCTCTCGGCACTCGCACTTGAAACCGCCCATGGTGTTGTGGCAGATTTGGTCGCACGGTTTATTGTCTGTACACTCGTCCACGTCCTCCTCGCAGTATTGCCCTTTGAAGCCGCTGGGGCAGCTGCAGGTGTTCGGTTTGACGCAGGTCCCACCGTTTTGGCACTTTGATACACATGACGCTAAAATAAAATATTGTAGGTAATTATTAAGTTAGTTGACAGTGTGGACGTTTTCTAATAAAGTCCTGGCCGATGATGAAAGGATCGAATGGAAGACCTAACTAAAACAAACACCAAAAATGCACAACCCATCAAAATTTGCCTTTTTGAGTTTACATTTTGGTAAATATAGGGAAATTTAGACATGTACCGCTTCATAGCAGACATGAACGAAAGTACCTAGAAACAAAAAGCGATTACGAGGTGTGCAGACTGTACGTGCGAGGGTTTTAGAGTCCGTTCATTTATGAATGATAAAATTTACCCGAGGGAGCATTTTCTAATTGGAGATGCGTTCTTCAAATAGAAACGAGATTAAATACCACTGAATTTGAAGAACACATTGTGATAAGTAGGAAAAATATTTTTCGCATTGCTAACAAAGGAACCGGTTAAAAGCAAGTTTGTCTAAGTTCGAGTGACATATTTGCGTAGCGCCTTGTGCGATAAATATAATTTTGTATACAAGGGCATTCGGCAGGAATTGCATTTACTTATAATGAAAATCTTGCACATATCATCTGGACGCTGAGGGGTATTCCATACCCCCAGATCCCCGGGGCTACGTTTACCCTCGAAACTGCATATAATTCGTGAAACATAATCATAGACTTGGTCTTCTTGTATTACGTCATCATCAAGGATAATGCAGAATTAGAAAACCGAGAAGAATCAATAAGAGTTGATAACGGAACTGGACCCAGGAGCATACGCTTTTGGGGTCAAGTAGCTATTTGTGGCAAAAATTCTTTGAACTAACTACGTAAGTGCAAATTCCTTTCAGTTGTTGGAAATCTGAAACATTACCGCATATTTATTATATTATAAGCATTGAATAAATGTTATAAATGGCAAATAAAGGAGTCTTGACCTGACTTTGTTATGACTATAAGTTCAAATAGAATTTCCAGTTAATTTCGCGTTGATGACATTTCGAAGAAAAAAATCTGCAATCGAATTGAAATAAACATGTCAAAGTGTAATAACACTTTCCCATGGGTTAAAAATATCTTGCCTTTGTTTACGTGTCATAATTACATTTTAAGAGCAATTAAGATACACGCAAGCTTTGGGTAGTGCATGTTAACTTCTTTCTCTTGCACTGTCCAGTTTGAAGTTATTAATTAACCACAGGTTCAACGGAATTTTGATTAGTCTCTTGACAGCCTCTTTTTTCGTGAGGTGGGTACTTTACAAAGGTACCTACAGGTGAATGATCGTAGATTTTAGGACGTTAAATAGAACAAGCCACTACGTGGATATTACGATGAAAAAAAGTTCGTACAGCCCCCCAGCGTTGCATTACAAGTAGTTAGCACTCGATCTTTTTTTGGTGCAGTCGATAAGTAGTTGGAAGTTTTGAATTTTTACCGAAAGGTGCCCTCCCTCCAACGGGTTACCTTCAAACGTTTGATTCTTGCAGGAAATTAGCACCTCCGATGTGTTTGGTCAATTTTATTTCGAAAGTTTTGACACGTGTCTATGCAAATTTACAAATTACAAGAGTTTTGGGTCATTTCTGAAATTATGAGCCCTTTCAATGCTTTCTAGATGCTTCTTTTTATCGAAGGTGTTGAAACGGATCTGCAAAAGGTGTAGAAATTGAGTAAAAAGGTTCTGAAACGTAATAGAGAGCTCTGGAAGGCCCCTTAAACGTCTTCTAGATACCACGAGAATGATACAGTAATATATAGAGCTAGGCAGAATACTTTCAAAAAGTATTTGAATACTAAATAGTAAATACTTTACACAAATAAAAATTGATTACTAAATACTTTTACGTCCAGCACAAGCGAATACTAGATACAGATACATTGAAAAGTATTCAAATACTTAAAAAAATAAGTATTCAAATACTTTAATGTATTCGAATACTTTCAAAGGTATTCGAATACCTACTTTCCAAAGTATTCTAATACTATCAAAGGTATTCGTACACTGCCTAATTTTGAGCCCCGCAAAAAAATTGTCTCAGATCGACCCGGAAAAAATTTTCTTATAGAATGTGGCCTGTAGAATCCATAATTTCAAACAGTTCCAAGATTGGGCTACTAGTTCAAAAGTTACAGCCCTTTGAATTTTTTTTCGAAATTGGTTTCTAGTCTATAACTTTTGATTGAGAAGTCTGATCGAAAAAGTACGAATTGCTTTGGATTCTACGCACCAAAATTAATAAGAAAAAGTGTTTTCCCGAGAAATTTTGGTGCAGTCGATTTTTGGTAAAAAAGGAAGGTTAAACACTGCCTTTTTTTGAGCCCCGAAAAAAAAATTGTCTCAGATCGACCCGGAAAAAAATTTTCTTATAGAATGTGGCCTGTAGAATCCATAATTTTAAACAGTTCCAAGATTGGGCTACTAGTTCAAAAGTTACAGCCCTTTGAATTTTCTTTAGAAATTGGTTTCTAGTCTGTAACTGTTGATTGAAAAGTCTAATCGAAAAAGTACGAATTGTTTTGGATTCTACGCACCAAAATTAATAAGAAAAAGTGTTTTCCCGTGAACTTTGGAGTAGTCGATTTTTGGTAAAAAAAGGAAGGTTAAGTATTCAAATACTTTGCGAAGTATTCGAATACTTCTCAAAGTATTCAAATACCTTGTGAAGTATTTGAATACTAAATATTTGTGAAAGTATTTGAGTTACAATTACAAATACTGCTTCCATAAAAGTATTTAATTACAAAGTATTTGAATACTTTAAAGTATTTGAATACTAAAAAGTATTTACAAAATCGAATACTGCCCAGCTCTTCTAATATAAAAGCGCAATGAAGAATGGGGTATGGAATACTTAAGAATACCCTCCAGGTTTTGTTATAAAAATTCGATTACATTTCCCCGAAAACCAACGTAAGAATTATAGAGGTAATGGAAGGGTCTCCTTTTTTTCTGGGGGTTATTGGTGGGGAGTATTCCATACCCCCACACCCCCTGTGCTGAGTTCTCCTCCAAAAATGTTAAGAGAAAGGATGACGACCCGGTAGAGTATGGGACACTTTCCAGGAAAATAAGATTAGAGTGTATTTTCACGAAAACGAGAGTCTTCAAGGCAGAACTGTGTTTTGGGAGAACGTAGTACCGGAGGAGTTTGGGGGGTATAGGCTTTGTTACAGAGATTTACCCCAAAACAAACATAAGAATGATAGAGGTAATGGAAGGGTCTTTATATGTATATACGCGAGTCGCGACTTTAAAAATTCGTAGCGGGTGGGAATTTTCCGAGAAAAAGTGCGCTTTTCCCTCGGAAAAAATAGGAAAGAGCGTTACGGAAAAACGAACCCCCCCCCCCCTCACCCTAGGAATGGAAGGAGAGTTGAGAGGACGTAACGGGGAAACGGGGAGGGGGCTTATCGAGTAAGGGTATGTTGCGTTTGCCTCGTAGTTTGAGGGCGCTGCCGAGGTGGAGTGTTAGATCGCGTGGCGGTAAGGGTCGAGGAGGGGTGGGGGGGTTACGAGTTACGTTTTTAAGACACTTTTTCTCCAGCACGTTACCTTAGTTAGCTATAAAAGTTTTAGTATTCACATAACATTCAATTATGCGGTAATACCGTAATACCGGTCTCCCTGAAAAAGTAAATCTACCTACTTTGTTCGCATTAGACTTGAGTCATGTATTAGCAAATCGACTGAATGTAACAAATACGGCATTCGCCCAAATAAATGACTCGGAAGTACCGAATCTAACGCAATAAAATGGCGAAAGGTGTATTTCCATCGGCTTTCCCTTTCACCCGTTCCAAAACAGACAGAAAATGAGCCTTGTAATTAAATAAGAAAATCCCATTCAATTCGCAAAACGAAAACGTTGTTATTTTAGGCACGGAAAGTGATATTGGGAAGTCGATAACGATTCGCGGCGACGAAAAGTCTACCATAAAGAAACGTAAAGAAAATTTCTGCATTAATTTATGTTCGGAAACCCATCTCAAAATCCTTTCAAAGAAAATGTTTTATCGACCGATGCCGCAAATTTTATTCATTAAAATTTGAAAGAGAATTTAAGCAGATTTCAAACTATACAATGGATTCGCTGAAAGCATTTTCATTTAGAAGAGATATCAAATCGAGGGTATGAAAATGATTCACTTGGATTTTCCGATCGAACGGCTTAGTACACTGTGCCAGCATTTCATAGGGAAACGAAGCGAGCTTTCTCGTATTTCTATTCAGTGTCAAATGAAATGCATGGTTTGTTAAAAGGAGCGAAGTTGAAATAATATTAATTTCAGACAAATTGGAGAAACTTATGGAATTATTAGACACTGAAGCAATAACGAGAACACCTAGAAAGGAAAGACACATATCCAAAAAGGTCATGAAAGGATCAGCACAAGAAGTGAAGTCGAATATCTAGCAACTGAAGCCAGCCTATTCAACGGTAGCAATGAACCGTGTCTGCTTCCACTGCTTAAAGAATAGTCATAAAGTTATGGAATGTCTTTCGTAGCTAAGTTAGCGTTTTAAATTTATTTCCCGACAACTTACGTTTGTTACACCCATGGCTCCGGTTTGTCACTTGGTACCATCCCGGACAACAGGTATACAACACCTGAGTTCTCGTTTTCATATTAACAACATCCCTGTACGTTGTTTCAAATACCAACCTGAAAGTAAACGTGGTGGTGCACGACCCAATTCATTCCAGACTTACCGAACACCATTGCACATTTGGTTGCCGTTACATCGTTCCGTGTACCTTTTGTAAACGGGCCTACTGTACGATTGCTTTGCGTTCACTGGAAACGTAACGTTCTTCTCTGTGGTGCAGATGTGTCTCCTGAAAGCAAGAAAATATATTCAATATTGACAGTGCAGAAGTTATATTTAAAAAACATCTGTAACATATGCAACATCTGTAACATCTGTAACATCTGTAACGTCTGTAACAACTGTAACCAGAATTTTAATTTTTATCCCACAACTTCAATATTTTAATCAGCCAAACTCAAGCGTTCATTTATTATCGAGTTTGTCTTATAAAAATTTAAATAAAAAATTGGTTTGGGGTGTATCAAGATAAGGATGTCTATAATGGGGATCAGTTGTGCGTGGGTGCACCATCCTGTTGAAACTTTTCTTTGTGTGTCGTGTATCGTTGTATGCGTAATAAAAAATGCTACTCAATACAGTGTGTACTTTTTTACGTGCCATAAAAAAACAATTAAATTGATCTTTTGTCCGAAACGAAACGGAAATGAAAATTATAAAACGCAAATTAGTATATGTATGCATAAAAGCATAGAACTGAAAAAGGAGAGCTCGTAATTTGCGGATACATTGCACATCTCAGCCATTACTAATTTAAACCATTAAAAGCACTAAATAATTCATCATAGGACGGTACGAATTTTGTTACAAAAAATCCGCCCAAGCGCTCTATGTGGTTAAAAAATGAATGCCGACGACGCTAAAAGGTTAATTCGAATGCATGATGCAAATTCTCCCTCGTCCAAACTAAAATATGCATGTTTTAATGCATTCCAGCTTAATGCTATGCAAATTACTCGCAACGATAATTAATTGAATCGGTCGAAAATTACGTAGCCCCTTTACCAACGCAATTGAGCAAATACTCGAAACCCTCCCGTTTTCCGAATGCAATGACCGCGTCGCACTGTATCGACTTTCTAATAAGTTATAAAAAAGAAACCAGTAGTTGACAAACAAAGGGTTACACGAGCCCATCGTAAAAATGCGAGCGAATTGCTCCCAATTGTTACAGTACCAGTATGCGATCGTAAATTTTCTCCCGCTGTATCTAGACATAAAAATCGGAGCCTTTTTTAAACTTTTATTACCTCTAGTTATACTTGTTGAGCCGCGCCTTGTTCAATTGTCTAATTGATTTAAGATTTTAAACACAAGCGCTGTGATTCATTTTATTGCACGAGCGAAAAGTTATTTCGGGACAAATAATTCTGTCATCAAACTCGCAATTCACTAACGGTTTTTCGCAGTGTCTGAAGAGCGCACTTAACGGCATTCTAGGAATGTTTGGAACGCCGTTTTGCCTTTTGGAAGCAATTCGATATTAAACTGACACACGCCGGTAAAGATTTGGATACATTTCAGTTTAGTTAGCCGCACCAACCAGTTCCCGATGTCTGTGGATATTTTCAAAAACACTAGTCCCTTCTTACACTTAAGTTAAAGTTGATTTATATTGGACTAAATTTTCATTATCATCGATCATGAAGTAAAAAAGTGATAACTGTTTCCTTAAGACGCGCATTTTTATAGGAATCGTTTCTCCACTTACCACAGAAAAAAATACCGCTTCGGATGGTGCATTTATTGGAATAAATCTGAATTGATTCTGACTATTTTGGCCCATTAAGATAGTATTATCGTCCGACAGACTGTCCCCAGTAACTCCCCCAAGCCATTAAACGGTCGCGGCGTACACGAAAAGCAGTGACCCGTAAAATTACAGATTACCAAATGCATTTGCAAACTTTGGAACCCACACACATTGTGTAGAAAATAACTCTCTCATAGGAAACACCCTGTATATATTGAAATAATGAAAATTCAAAAGAAAAACCCAATTTGTCGTAAATTTCTAGTGAACCTCCTTTCGCGTCTGGTCGCTACCAGCAGGAGGTAGGTACGCGAACTACGTGTTCTTGATAAACATATGCCGTAGTAACGGGCCACAATTTCCGATGATTGCGAAAGAACGTTTAGAAGTTTAATCACGTTTCTCAAATTCTTTACACTGTAACGTTATTTACCTAATAATTTATATTCCTGATTTAAATTCCATTTAAGTAACTTTTTGATTTTTGCTCTCGTTTATATTCTTACGGCATCTAGGTATTTCCTTTGTAATCCACTAGTTTAAACGTAAATTATTCTTGTAGTAGAATTTTATTACCTAGTTCTTTGTTTTGCCGTTAGAGGCCATCAAAGTGTTATACATTTCCTATTTCAATAGTTCTTTGCTGTCTTCAGTGTCTTCCGGTTGCCGGTTTCTGAATCTTCTAGGGCATTTTAATACTCTGGATATTTCTGTCATGAATTTGTGAATGTTCTAGGGATTTTATGTTCAAGATGGTTTGAGCTCTCTAAATCGTTCAATTCTTTCCAGCCAGCTCCCTCCACCGTCTCAATCTTCCCGATCTGAATGATAGCCCAGATCTTCATTCCCTCGTCCAGTTTTCCCAATCATAATCTTCTAATGCTCTTGAATCTTTTGAATCCCTGGGATTTTATGAAGAATTTAAATTTTGAAAATCTTCTGAATCCGTCTTCTGAATGGCCTCAATCTCTTGGACATGCAGGCTCGTCTGGTTCTTTGCCTGTTCCGAATTTTGTAGGGCATTTAGATATTATGGACCACCCGGATATGGATTTCTGAATTTTGTAGGTGTTTTTAATGTTTAAGATGATTAGACCCCTCTAAATCGTTCCAGTCTTCCCAGAACCTTCCATCTTCTTGATTCTTTCCCTTCAAGGCTGTCGAATCCTTTGAATCCCTGTAATTTTATGAATCATTTGAATCTTTGAAATCCTCTGAACCCGTATCAACAGTACTCTGAGTGTTGTCATCCCCTTGAACCTTCCGCCTTTCCGAATCCTCTGGAAATTTGTATCTCTCTGGAGCTTCTAAACTTACTTGGCTTTGTAGAAATTCTGAACCTTCTTCAGATTCTGATTCTGTAGGGTATCCTGATTTTCTGGCTCATTTTGGCTGTACTGGATCTTTCAGGTACCCTGATCTTGAATTCTTAACCTCTTGGATCTTCTGGAGATCTATAGGGTTTATGGGAGTTCTAACCCTCGAGACAAATGTAGCTTCTGGATCTCTTTCATCTTTTAGATCTTGTAGATCTCCTCATTCTTTTGTATTATCTTGGATCTCTTGGAGGTTTTACAGCGTTTTGCTCCAGAACCACGTTAAATGACCTAGTTCTTCTTCGATCTCTCGCTTTCCTATCACTTCAAAGAGTCCTTAATAAACCTCAAAAATAAGGCACTGTGGTCTTTATCTAATTTTTTTATGTTTTAGCCTTTATTTTTAAGTGGGCGAAGTTTCAGCTCCTGTTGTACTAGTGCACAGAAGGTAGTATCAGGGGTACACACCACAGATTCATTTCTGTTTCCAGAAAAGCACAATGGAAGTACTGCGGATTATCGGGAGTGTTTCCCGGAAACTGTTGTGAATGCTGAGGGGTATTCTATACCCCCCAGATCCCCCGGTTTTAGTGAAACCTAATCGTAGAACATTGTTAATTTTTAAGACTTCCGAAAGACCCTGTACGTTACCACAGATTCTCGTTTAGATCTTCCCAGTTCGTGGGCAGTTCAGTTCGCATTTTTAAAGAACATGCGAACAGCCTTTCAAACATTTTAGAGGTCCGAGTTCCACCAACGTGTCCTCCTCAGATCAGAAAGACCGCTTGAGGAACGAACAGAACAAATAACCATAGCACTTGTTGTAGATCTTCTAGCGTCTGATACGCCACTGCTTGTAAACGAAGTCGGAGTGTCTAAAAATGTAATGCACGAAGATTTGGGCAAAAAAAATGTCTGCTTACGACAAATCAGAAACCGCTGTGTGTAAAGAAATTTGTTAAGATCAATTGGACCACCATTAATGGTGAGATAGGACAGTCTGTAACGCAAATTGACAAAAACTATGGGTACACAACGCCCACAAACCGCAGATTTACCGCATCCACCCTACAGCCCAGATTTAGCACAATACGCCATTTGCTAAAACAGCTAGAAAGACACCTCAAGGGCCGCAGATTTACCTTACGTTACGACCGTTTGTGACGATACCGTAACAAAAATAAAGAAAAAGCCCTCGTATTTTAGCGGTGCAAATTTTTTAACGCCGCTTTTCACAAACCGCGCCATCTATCAGTTTCCATGCGGGAACACGGCTAACTACAACTAACACCAACGCTGCCGCGATCCAAGAGATTCCCGCATGAATTTCGGTATATTTACTGTGTTTTTAATGGTATTTTTATGGGGATGACCTAAAGGAAGATTAGGGTAGGCTGCAGTGCTTCAAGGTAAGTCCATTTCGATTGCATACTGCATGCACCTAACCGCAATTTACGAAACAGTCTCTTGCAAGAGGCGGCAAAAGTGGCGGTGCGGATAGGTGTAATGCAAGTAATAATTTGCCATAGCGGAGTATGTTATATGTAAGAATTAAAAACAAAAAGAAAAAATTGCTGAATCATGTTCTTCTTTGCAGAAAGTTGAAAGCCGCGCCATGCGAGCGAGGTGTCGCCGCTATCGCCCGTTTCTTCATGGCGGTGATGCAGTTCCATCACAAGAACAGCGTTCACAAGTGAAATGCCTTTGGACCTTCGTCTAAAACTGAAAATCGCCTTCTAGAACAACGGAAACGGTGAAGCTTTTCAATAAATCGAAACGTGTAAACTTTCCGGCGATCGCGTTCTGAAGGGCCATTTGTGCTAGCCGCCCAAGGTTAGTAATATACCAACCTTGCTAGCCGCCCACGGAGCTTCAAAAGTAAGTGATTTCTTTAAATATAGGGCGATTGCACTTTTGCATGTTTATTAAGTGGGTATTTTCCGTCTGTGTCGAAAATTTTGTAATTTTACAACAAAATACCGGCGACACACCAAAATGGCCACCGGTCTCGATAACATCGTGCTGCATTTTTCGCGTTTCTTTTACGTTAATTTGCATTGATCATTTTGTTTTGGTGGAGTGAAACGGCGTATTCCTGTTAGTAGATGGTAGTTACGTAGACGCATAATTGGGTTTTTGAAGTGATATGGTAAAAACATACAGAAAGCGCCCTCGTATCTCATTTGAACGCGAGCATAGCGCCATCTCGGGAGCACGACAAACTAACACCAACGCTTCCACGGCCCAAAAGAACCGCTCGTGATTTTCGTGCTTTTTTCTTGTTTTTTCTTGTATTTTTATTGTGGGACCTAAATACAGATTAATTGTAAACTGCAGGGCTTCGAGGTAATCCATTCCGATTGTATACTGCATGCACCTAACCGCATTTTATCAAACCGCCTCTTGCAAGGAGGCGGCAAAAGTGAAGATGTGGGTAGGTGTAGGTAATGCAATTGTAAATTTTCCATAACGTATAGTATGTTATATGTAAGAATTAAAAACAAAAAAGAAAAATTGCTGAATCATGTTCTTCTTTGCAGAAATTTGAAAGACGCGCCGTTGTAGCGCGGTGTCGCCACTATCGCCCTTTGCGTATTTGGAGCTTGGGCCTGAGGTTCCCATTTACCATCTCAAGAGCCAAGCACGGCGTTCCCTAGTGCAATACCTTCGTGTGCAGCAGAAAATCGCCCTCTACAACCATCGTAGCGGTAAAGCTTGTCAACAAACCGAAATGTTCCAACTGATCGTTCTGAAGGGCCCCCTTAGCCTCCCACGCAGCTTCAAAAGTAAGTCAAATCCGATTGCGACTTTTGCATGTTTATTAAGTCGCTATTTTATAACCGTGTGTGCCGAAAATGTAATTTTACAACAAAACGTTGTGATGATAATCCAATACGGCCCCCGACAATAGGAGCTAGGAGCATCGATCATAGCGTTATACTCGCATTGTGAACTTCAACAGTCAAATACACGCCAATTTTATGTAGTTCACAACATCATAATATCGCAATTTTCGTGTTCGATGTCCACCCATAAACAACGGGAGTAAGTACGTAGGTACGACGCTCTCATATTTATCTCGAACAGTACCCCCCATAAGCATTTAGTGTGTAAAGATAGTTTTGTGGCAGTCTACGACAAAACATGTACCAAGTGCACGTGTGAGAATGGACCACAAAAATTCCAAGGCCCTCGCCCCAACGGTACACGTAAATTTTGAAAAACGATCACTTGCAATGCGTGTACTTTCGTAGGTACGAGTTGTTTATCTTGGCTAGGCAAGGTCAAAAATAGTTGGTGCTTTTCCCCAGACTTTTTTTAAAACGTTTAGCGTTCCCCTTTACGGATTTCTCCGCGAAGAAGTACACTACTTGCGCATTTTCTCCTGTCGGTCTGTCTGTCTGTAATCTCATATCAGGTTCAAGGTACGTGCACATCGAGCGGACGGCACGGATCGAATTGCGAAACAAGAATTAAAATCCGTGCGTGTCGATACCGACGTATTCACGTATGTGGGAAGTACGTAGGGCCTTGCGCCGGCGTCATCGGCCTTTATCAAGCGGCACATCAAAGCGATGGAAGCTATATAGGGGAGTGCATGGTGTACGTCTGTCTGTCCGTCCGTCCGATTGGGCCGATTCGGTTCAAATTTTGTCCAGTTTACCTGCAACAAGCCTATTGAAAGTAGGTCAAATCCCAATGACACCGTGGTTTATTCTTCCTGCAGCTTAGTCTTGCTTTTTGAAACCAGATCAAACGTTACCTCTTCGCCGCTCGAAGACAATTTAAAACCAAACTGAATTTCTTCCGGCGATTCCGATAATTGATGTTCGATACCCTATTAAAAAATAATGCGTAGAATACCGACCGTACCGTCCGTTTGATGCCGCGTACCTTAAACAGCTGAACCGATTGGAACAAAATTTGCTATTCACAATCCGAGTCATAAGTGGAAGAACTGAACAGTTTTTGGGCTGAATCACGACTGCGCAAGAGTAACACTTTTTGATGTTTTTCCACTTGCGCATTTTTTTCCTTGGGAAAATAATGCAAAAAATTAGGTTTAAATAAACACAAAAATGAGGCAAACTCTTTGATCCTTATACGATCAGAGGGTAGATAAAATCTAGCATTTTGCTGAGAATGTCAAATTCCAGTAGGAGAGATTTTATAATTTTTGGCGCATTCTTTTTAAGAATTAAAAAAAATGTGCTATTGTTTGCGTTTTATCCGTCCGTCCGGACCCACTTCTAGCGTTTCGAACTACTTCTAGGGGAATGGTCCTAGAGTCCTTGAATGTTCTGCAACGTGTACTAGACGGCTCGGTTTCTTAAAGCCCCCCCCCCCCCAAATTCGACACACTTTTAATAATAATAATAATATTTATTGACGGCCAAGCCAATTTACATTTTGTTACACTTGCTCAATTTTTGAAGATAATGATGGCGTTCAATTAATCTGCTTTGGAAAAAAAACGCTCAAGATGCTTAATAAGCAAAAAAACGTAACTTACACACTTGTTTTTACACTTGCGCAATTTTTCCCATGGAAAATTAGGTTTCTTCGGTTTCTTTTCGCGTTGCGTTGCGTTGTGCAGTTAAGTGAAGTGATGTGTTTCGCTTGTGAAGTGCAGCATGGAGTTCCTGCTTCCAGTTGAAGAAATTGGAGAACGACTGTGTAATTATTTATTTATAAAGTTGCGTTGCATTGTGCGGTTTAGTGATGTGGTTAGTTGTTCTTGTGAAGTGCAGCATGCAGTTCCCGCTTCCAGTTGGAGCAATTGGTGAGTGATTTTGTAATTTTTTATTTTAAACTTTGGCGTTAATTTATTGCGCATGTCAAAAAAACGCCCAAGATGCTTAAATGAAGCAAAAAACCAAACTTACACACTTGTTTTTACACTTCCGCAATTTTTGAAAATAATGTTGGCGTTTAATTAATCTTCTTTGCAAAAAAAAAACGCTCAAGATGCTTAATAAGCAAAAAAACGTAACTTACACACTTATATTTACACTTGCGCAATTGTTGGCGTTTAATTAATCTTCTTTGCAAAAAAAAAACGCTCAAGATGCTTAATAAGCAAAAAAACGTAACTTACACACTTATATTTACACTTGCGCAATTTTTCCTTTGGAAAATTAGGTTTCTTCGGTTTCTTTTCGCGTTGCGTTGCGTTGTGCAGTTAAGTGAAGTGATGGGTTTCGCTTGTGAAGTGCAGCATGCAGTTCCTGCTTCCAGTTGGAGCAATTGGTGAGTGATTTTGTAATTTTTTATTTTAAACGTTGGCGTTAATTTAATGCGCATGTCAAAAAAACGCTCAAGATGCTTAATAAGCAACAAAAACGTAACTTACACACTTATATTTACACTTGCGCAATTTTTGAAAATAATGATGGCGTTCAATTAATCTGCTTTGCAAAAAAAAACGCTCAAGATGCTTAATAAGCAAAAAAACGTAACTTACACACTTATATTTACACTTGCGCAATTTTTCCCTTGGAAAATTAGGTTTCCTCGGCTTCTTTTCGCGTTGCGTTGCGTTGTGCAGTTAAGTGAAGTGATGTGTTTCGCTTGTGAAGTGCAGCATGCAGTTCCTGCTTCCAGTTGGAGCAATTGGTGAGTGATTTTGTAATTTTTTATTTTAAACTTTGACGTTAATTTAATGCGCATGTCAAAAAAACGCTCAAGATGCTTAATAGAAGCAAAAAATCGTAACTTACACACTTGTTTTTACACTTGCGCAATTTTTGAAAATAATGATGGCGTTCAATTAATCTGCTTTGCAAAAAAAACGCTCAAGATGCTTAATAAGCAAAAAAACGCAACTTACACACTTGTTTTTACACTTGCGCAATTTTTCCCTTAGAAAATTAGGTTTCTTCGGTTTCTTTTCACGTTGCGTTGCGTTGTGCAGTTGAGTGAAGTGATGAGTTTCGCTTGTGAAGTGCAGCATGCAGTTCCTGCTTCCAGTTAGAGCAATTGGTGAGTGATTTTGTAATTTGTAACGTTGGCGTTAATTTAATGCGCATGTCAAAAAACGCCCAAGATGCTTGTTAGAAACAAAAAAGTAACGTACACCCTTTTTTTTACATTTGCGTAATTTTTCAAAATTATGTTGGGGTTAATTTACAGTTTTATTGACATTTCCAGAACAACACCAAAGGAATTCTGATAGTTATAGGGAATGGGTTGACGATTCCTTTCTTTGGTCGGCGATTTTGAACCCCTGCCGCTTTTTGAATTTTTTCTTATTGAGTATTACTCGAGCAATGTTCCAGTTAACAAGACCAGCTACACCCACAGCTGCCATGGAGGTTTTGCTGGGCTCCCTCCCTCGTCACTTAGTGGGAGCGTAGAGGGGAGGAACAACTAAACATTTCTAAATACATATAGAAGATTTCAGACTACATGACTCCCGAACATCGCCACGACAAGCCCTTTAAGGTGTTGGTTCGGGACAAGGAAGTCTGTTATACCTAGCTATAACCAGATGCGCAGAGGTTTTTGCTGCCAAAGGGCTACTACGTAAACGCATTTACATCTGCTCGGACAGTCAGGTATCTCTTAAGTCTCCCTGACCTCCAAACTGTTTATGAAATGCCACACAAACCTGGAAGAAACAGCCATGCCTAATCGTGTTACGTTAGTGTGCGTCTTGAGGCGAAAGCTCGCTAATGTCGGCACTTAACATCCCCAAATTGGACCGGAACCCTACTGTGGAGCACCACCAAGTCTAGCTGGAGGAGTGAACAATTTCAGAAAAGAGTGGAAACATCTATGGGAATCTTCCCCAGACACTCCAAGAAAATGGTCGGTTTTCAGGAGACCAAAACCAGCTCGCTGCTAGCACTCAGCAGAAGGTCACTAGACACTGCCCCTTGAGATATCATCTTAACAAAATCGGGGTAGCTGATGACAACACATGTCACCTCTCTGCTTCGAGGAGGAAGAGAACCGGAACACATCGTCTGCTGATGAGAGGCTGTCACCGCACAGAGATCTCTCGGAGTAATTTTAAAATTTATGAAACGTGTCTAATATATTCGAAGCATCGATCTACTACTTACCTGAAATGATGGTCAAAGTCGCTAATTATACCTAATTACCATGCACATGTTGACCAAGACATGTTTATGCAACAAGAAAGAACTCACGTTGAGATTAATCTACCAGGTGCTCATTTATTTTAAAAATTTCGCCAATTTACTGCCTGTGCTTCTTCATCTTTCGTCTTCCAAGCTCTACCAATTTAAACGTACGACATCCTGTATACTAAAACTGCGGGCACACCTCGCCATGACTAAGCTCAAGCTTTAAACAATCCTCAATCAAAATTATACACATTAAATAAATGAGGTAGCTTCGGCTCGTTATTTGTTTTCCCACTCTCCATTACGTACGATACGCCGTCGCAGACAGGTCAAATTTTTAACCTCCCCATCTTTAAATAACACGTTTCGGTGTTTAATATTAAATATTACGAGTCGTTAAGTTTAACTTTGGGAAAGTTCAAACAAATAAAATTACGATTATGACCCGTTGATTTAGGGTTAATGCTCGACTTGTTTATAAATAATAACTTTGTTTCTGAAGTCTGGCGCGTAAGTTATACAGGTACGATGCGAAATATAAAGATCGTCATTAGCAACGTTGTTTTAATGTAAACGGTTGCTTTTTTCGATATTTTTTGTAACGGGCAGGTTAAATTGTTTATACATTAGCCTGTTTTCATTTATCTTCACTTTCTTTTTCTGTTTTACTTCTATTTTTCTTCATCCCACTCCCT